AAGCTAAGATTGACGAGAAAAAGCATACCAGGCGTACTCCTTGAGACCAGACAATGGTCTTTCACGGACATCGAAAGTGGAAACGTTACTGGCCTCTGTGTTTGCCAATATGGTTCGAGGGAAGATTATCAGGCTCTGATTGACATGGGGGTAAAGATTAAGGATTCGATAGTTCTGGTGAAGTATTACGGCTCGCAAGGAGATAGAGCGTTGAAGATAAAGGCTGCAGAACTGGCTGGCGCTGCCGGTTGTATTATATACTCCGATCCAGCTGACGACGGTTTCGTCAAAGGCCCTGCTTGGCCCAAAGGAAGGTATATGCCATCCGATGGAGTGCAACGGGGAGCGGTGAGCCTGATGTCATGGGTGGTTGGAGATGTGCTAAGTCCAGGTTTCGCCTCTCTTCCCAAGGAGAAAAAAAGATTGTCCGTAAGTGAAAGCCCAGGTCTAACCAAGATACCAAGCTTGCCTATAGCATGGAGAGATGCGCAGCATTTGCTCCAAGCTATTCAGGGTCATGGCAAGCTGGTACCGAGAGAATGGGTCGGGGGTGTGCCGGATATCAAAGAATGGTGGTCGGGAGACCAGTCCTCCCCCAAAATCAACTTGATGAACCTCCAAGATGAAGTGGAAAGACAGCCAATCCATAATGTTATCGGAAGGATAACCGGTGTTGAGCAGCCAGAAAAGAAGGTCATCATAGGAAGCCATCGCGATGCATGGTGTTTCGGAGCTGCAGATCCAGGAAGTGCCTCCGCTATTCTGGTGGAGGTCGCACGAGTATTCGGGCAGCTTCGAACCCTTGGCTGGAGGCCTTTACGCACCATCGAGTTTGCAAGCTGGGATGGCGAAGAATACAACCTTATAGGCTCCACCGAATATGTCGAGAAAAGGGTCGAGGAACTTCGGAATGACGGAGTTGCGTATCTGAATGTCGATGTGGCCGTAACTGGTGAGAACTTTCGGGCTGCTGCATCCCCTCTATTCGAGCGCTCTCTTCGACGGGTGCTGGGACGGGTTTCCGACCCTAAGACTGGCGAAACCTTGCGAAGTATCTGGGAGAAGAACGGTTCGAAGCTTCAGGGTCTAGGGGCCGGTAGTGATTATGTCGCTTTCCAAGATATCGCGGGCATATCCAGCATCGATTTCGGCTTTGATGGGGAACCATATCCATATCATAGTTGTTATGATAATTTTGACTGGATGTCCACTGTTGGCGATCCAGGCTTTCGATACCACAGAACTCTTGGACAAGTATGGGCTTTGCTCCTTTTGCAAATAGCTGACAACCCTATTATTCCGTTCGACCTTGAAGCATACGCTGCTGCCGTTGCTCAATATGTCTCTGACTTGCATGGCTATGCTAAAAACCAATCCGTTCCATTAAAGCCTACGTCTAAGCACACCCGCAAAGGCGACTCCGACCGTCGCATTGATTTTCAACCCTTATACCGAGCCGCGAAACGTTTTCGACAAAGCGCCGATGAGTTTCGCAAATGGTTGGAGCTCTGGAATCGGACGGTCACTGAAAATAATGGCTTCGAACCCAAAGTTTATGGACTCGAGAGGTTGAACCACAACAACCAAATGTCGGATTTTGAGACTCATTTGCTCGATCTGCAGGACGGCGGAGGCGTAAGTGATATTTCCTACATAGCCGCTAGACGCCCAACCCCCAAAACTATCCTTTTGTCCTAATTTTGTCCACAGATCCCTAACCGGACCCAATTCAAACATGTCATATTCGGCCCACAGAAATGGTCCGGATACGACGAGGCGTTCTTTCCAGCCATTAGAGATGCAATCGATTCGAGAAACTGGACCGAAACACAGCATTGGATTGATAAAGTCTCGTTGATACTAACTGATGCGAGTCTTAAGCTCAAATGACACCTGACTGACATTTCCTTTCTATTCTTTTACCAGCTGCTACGCCTTGGGGCAGTTTTGGTTTTGTTCTAACTGAAGATCTTGTATTCCTCCAGCTGATTGATACGTTTCAATGAGTACGTGGCCAACAGCTTTTTCAATTGCCATTGGTCCTTGTCTTGCTTGATGTTTGAGCAGTTGTATTTCTCTAGACAACCTAGGCAGCAAGCGCCTTGAGTTAGACTTGTCTATACCCCTTTTTCCTCTTTTTTTTCCCTTTACACTTGGCTGTATATACCTATCTCTTGTTTTCCTTTCCTTACCCCAATACACAAAGCCTATGGAGCTCCCTAGCCTCAGAAACGCACACTGGCATCCGTGCAAAGCTCTGTTTCAGATTGTTTTTCATTTTTCGTTACTTTTGAGCACTTGTGGCATGAGAGCCTTGGGTTTCATTATCTGTATTTCTAGAAATTTGAGGGGTTTGTTTTAAAAGGAAAGAAGCATTCCCAAGTGTTTGGAATTAAAATATTCTAGCTAAACAACATGCTGTACATTGGCGATTCTGAGCCGACTGTTCTAGAATACATGCGGTGTATTATACAATGCGAACAATTTTGAAACCAAGTAGACCCGATCTGTTGGGATGACGGCCAAAACAAATTTTTGCATCCCTCTTTCGTGTTGTGAGCAATTCGGTGCGGTCGATGTATTAAATCACGTTTACCTTGGAAGTATTTGTGCGTCTTTCAGCATTTCACTCCGAAGGTTCGACGATCAATTTTATTCTTTTTCGTTTTCATTTTCAGTGTGATATCTAGTGGTTGCAAACGTCTTCGGCTCCGACCACCAAAAAGGAGCCACGTCAACCAGCGGGCATATTCGTGAAATGTATCTTTCAAAATTTCGCAAATATTCGCCAGTGAGCAATCCTGCCACGAACTGCTTAGGTTGGTGGGAGATTTTTCATGTCGCCTTTGCCATCCTTGATCCAAGAAGGGTGGATCAATCGCTCCCTCTCGGCGTAAAGTTGCTTGTACGCGCCACGGATCGTGCCATCACTAACATGGGCAACAGCAGAGATTTCTTTCGCCGACTTGCCCTGGCCCATCAAGAACGACGCCATATAGATGGAAGCAGCCACGATGGACAACGGAGAGCGACCCGCGAGGTCACCCATTGAGGTAACCCGGTCAGCAAGTGCAGATGATACAGTTGTAACCTGGAATGGTAGGTCAAGCAGATTGCAGAAACGGCTGCAAAGGTCACTTGGTTTCGTGGAGGTAGTCGCAGTATAGGTTTCATTGGGGTCTGGGACTCCTGTTGAAGAAAGCATTAACCACACAGCGAGCTAGAATATTGTGAGAACCTGCTGGAAAGACCTTACCTCCACTAGAAACAACGGAGTTAATCCTCTCCATGTTCTGCGCAGTGAAGAACTTCTCCAACGTCTTATAAATCCTTCCGATCTCTTTCTTGGACACTCGTGTCAAGGCGAAGATCTCTGTGAACGTACGTGGAACCTTGCACTGACGACAGGCAATGAAAATGCATCCGGCAATAATGACGTCTTGGGATTTGCCCTTAAATGCCTTCGCATCATCTACGATTTTGAAAAGATACTTGGCAGTGTCCGCAACGTTCTTTTGAATATTGAACCCGTCGCAGAGTGCGCCAATCTCCTTGTAAGCAGCCAACAAAGCTCGGTTGGTTTTCTCACTAGACATCTTATTTTGCGCACGATGCAACTCGCGTGTTTTGGCACCACCTTGCCCGTACGAGATTTGGGTTTCAAGCTGATTCCCATTCAATAGAGGGTTGGCAGCGTCTCCAACACGAGATGGATCATCATTGTTTTGGTCGTCGTTCGAGAACGTACGCCATTCGGAATGTTGATCAATCTCTCGATCTGCGAGGACAAGGCCACAGGAGCCACAGATCGTTTCATGAGAGTCAGGCGTTCGCAGGTTCGGAGGATTCTCCTTGCACTCAGGGCAGATTAACCGTGCGGCAAGATTCTCTTTCCACAGATTTGGTGGAGCCTCATTTCGAACCGTAGGCCCGAAAGTCGCCATCTTCTTTACCTTTTCGCTTCTATTCAGCCGCTCGCTCTGTCGCCTTTTAATGGACTTATGAGTAACCCTGAGGTTATGTTGCGCTGCGTAAGTACGGATAAATAACGGCGAATACAGCTTGCCGGTTACTCTTTGTGAGGCCCGGCGGCCAGAGATGCGAGGGGGATGGAAAAATGTCTTAGTGGCACGCGGTAAGCCTGGGATCAAGCAGAAAGCCGTGGCCACTGTATTTCGCTATCATGTCAGCACAAGTGACGAAGGATATACCATCATTTAACACTTTCGAAAATGTACAATATGACTAGATGGTAAATGAGACGGACAGCCACTTCGGGATCGTGCAGGAGGATACACTCGAGTGCTCAGAAACCCAAAAGCAGCAAATCTATCTCGGCTTTACCTTTCAAAGACAATTATTCCGCCTCTAGGCACGAAGGAAGCAGCTTGGGTTCCTTTGCAGGATAGCCAACTCTTCCAAGACGCAGTAGGCAAGACGGAAACCGTCTACTCAGTGTCAAATCCTTTTCACTCTTGGATGGTAAGAGTGGCGAAAATCAGCGGTGACTGAGTGAAGCCTCTGGCAGGGGCTCTGCGACGTAGGAATGAATCTCAGCGGGGTACTCGAGCGAATAGCCTCCGGATGAGCGATATTCCTGAATCTGAGACTCCGAGTTGAGAAGATCAACGTTGTTGGAGACGCTGAGGGAGCCTTGGTCTGGATGGAAGAGAGGAGATGCTGTTGAGAGAAGAGCCGCAGGCAGACGGCAGCCTGGCGATTACTAAGCACTATCATGACTAAGCCGCCAAGGCCCGCCATGGCTCACAAACCGCCCAAACGGCCGATATTGCAGTTTGACGTCGAATCTGCAGTTGACTGCTCCCTCTGGATTGTCCCAGCGTCCCTCCGTCGCCGTCTCACAGTTGCAACGATGTTTCAATCACTCCGGGCATCTGTAAGCAATATCGCGGCCCTTTTTTTGCGTCAATTGAGCGCAGTGCTGACCTTGCATAGCGGTCGCTCTTGACCCGAGTGGCTCGGCAACAAAGCCCCATCGCTGTTCGAACCTTTGCTACTACGTCTGCTCGACAAGGTAGAAGAGTTAAACAAGCTCCTCTTTCGACCCCGGATGCTGACCAATACTCTCCATCAGCCGACCCCGTGCAAGAGCTCTATCTTCGCGAACTCCGCGCCTATAAGCCCGCGCCTTTGAAGCCATCTGACGCCGAAGCCTACGTGCAAAAGTTCGTCATGCCCACACCACCCCCGTCTCCAGAGGAAGCAAACATCGCCTCGGAGTTGAAAGCGTACGAAACGCAGGATGTCGAAGTGGAAGGCCAGGCTGCCCCTGGGGAGACTGCCGCCGTTGAAGAGGATTGGTTCGAATTGCCAGAAGAAGAGGAAGCTTCCGCTGCTCACTAAGTGTGCTTGTGTAAAAATAAATGGGAATGTTGATAGACAATTGAATTTCGCGCATCCCGAATTGTACAGTTACAATATACGAGGTTTTCCCCTCTCTGCTTTGATATTTGATCCTTTTTGCGATGAGGATGGCACATCAATGCGATGACAGTCAAAGTGTGAAAGACGAAGCATTTTTCTTCGTCTCCCGACGCCAGAAAGGGCTGGTCCTAGCAAGCAATTTTTGACACATACCACCACTATGATTGATAGGATTTACCTTACCATTCAACTACCGAAGTTGCCGGGAGGTAACGTAAATGAACTACAGGATAACGAATATGATTGAATACTATGGGTTAGTGCCGTCAATAACGATATATCGCATTGTAACGAACGAAGGAGGGATAAAATGTAAATAAATATTATCGCCGGCTTCTAGCACTCCATACTCTTTATAATCCCGTCTTTGCCTCCCATATCAGAATCAAAGCCGAGCCCTCACTGAAATGATAAAAATTGGGTTCTCATTTGCCTCGTCCATCCCACGGTCGACGGAACTCACGGCCATGCGATGGTAACTTCTGGGTAGCAACCGTGGTTAATCTGAGTCAGGCCTCCTCCCAGGCTCCCATGATTCCCATCCACGGTCGGATTCGTTCTCTACTCACCACCGAAACCTGGCATTCAGCCCCAATGGGTGGCTTATTACTCTCAGAACGATCGAAGACTTGGCTTGCATTTAGCCCCGTATTCTCGTCGCCTTGGCTGGCTCCCACTAGGGGTTTAAGGTGCACTCCGGCGTCGCGGTCTGCCCGTCATCAAGCGAGCCGGGAGTCCTGAAAGCAGCGGAAGATTAATGATGTTGTTCGGCGCAGCATTCCCAGCCTTTTCGGTGCGGTCCTTGGTGATGACATGGCTCTCCACTCCATGCAGACATACGAGCCATGGGAAAAGCCCACCAGAAATGTGGACTTTTTTATCAAACGAAAATAGGCAGAGAAAGCCAATTGGCGCTCGTAGCCTGATCTCCATCCAGCTAACGAAAACTAAGCAGCGTGCTCATTTGAAATAGGTGAGGCTCAACCGCCGGTTGTTGAAAGAGAACGTGATGTGAAACTCTTGAACCTCGCGCCTCTAAATATAGTCAGTCGTCCGCGGCCGACATCATCGCCATCATCACTTTTCAGTTGCCATCTTCCAAAGGTCACAGCATTCGAGCAGCTGGTTGTCTTTCGCTTTACTTTTGGCTTTGCACCAAACGTATAATGAGGATGGTAATTTTAGTACCGTGACGTTTTGCCGCTTTCTCTTTGTGTCTCAAAACTGCCTGATGGCTTCTCCCAGCCTGCGTCTCAGTTTCCCGTCAGCAAATATCACCGTTACAGCAGCCCTTCACTCCCGCCGCCAAGCTCGTCTTTGAGCCCTTGAAGCGACTTTGCGAGCACCCCTCGTGCACAAGAGACAATTAACATCCAGTCTGAAATCTACCGATAAGTAAGGAAATCATCTGTGGGCCTTGTCGAATGTGTGGATTACTGACCATGTCATAGGACACCACGGCCATCACCCACTTGGTGTCGTACTAATAATTAATACGGAATCCCTACCTCTTTCAACTTCCTTGTCACAGATTTCCTACTTCCATCCTCCTCGCCGCGAGCCATTCACGCCTGGGAAACCGCGCTGTACTCCTTCGAACAACGCCAACGATCCCAAGACCAAACAATCTCGATGGTGTGAAACTGTGCTATTTACCAGTTAAACGGTTGGAGAGCGGGTCTCTCCAAAAACCCAGGCCTTGATCGCGATATACCCGTTGGGCGGTTTGACTATGCCTCCCTCCACCAATGATGGCAGTGATGGTGGAAGTTCTTCGCAGCTGACACGTTCAGCAAGTTATAACTATATTCCGGCTCTCATTCCAGACGGAGATGGTACCCTTATGAGGAAAACGCTTTCTGAGGTTAATCTAACACACTCGACCGACCAGCAGACACACTCACAAAAGACCGAGGATTTTGCAACGGGAAAAGAGATACTGCGCCAATCGTCTCTTCGTTCTAAACGTAAGAATGGTTCCACATTCACTCTGGGAGATGATGATGGAAACAGAGCGAGCATGGCAAACGGCGGGAGTGCCAGGACTACTGAATCGACGGACCGCTCGCGGAAAACGAAAACCGTAGCTGGTGCTTTAGCAAGCTTGACTCGTAAACCATGGAAAACCTCGAGATCTCCTTCGCCATCCCAGTCCAACAAAGATATGATACGGCGTTTAGGGCGCTCAAATGGACAGATCTCCCCAGCTGAAATCGAAACAGCAATACATGACAACACGCTTACAGAACCAGTTAAAGATAGCGGGAAGTATAAGGCCAATGATCCAGCTAGAACAACCGCTGTTTTGACCAAACGAAATAAACGGCCGCTCAGCGTAACTGCAGCAAAAGACCAAAATGACAAGCCTCCTTCTGTTTCTAGAAGCCCTTCTATTCGATCATTGCGCCGGAAATCCTCTTTAGAACGCCTAGCAGCGTCTGTCGGGCTTTCCAGACAAGATATCCCTCCAATTCCACAGAATTCTCCACCAGAGGTAACCAAACTGAAACCGGAACAGCCACGGAAAAGGGATGAGCTATGGAATGTATTCAGAGGGCTCGATGCAGATTTTCAAAAGTAAGTATTTAGCTGCTGTCCTCCATCAACAAGATCCACATCTGATTTTCGCCAAGATATCAATCAAAATCTAGTTCCCTTAAAGTCAATGTTATCCGCTCCTCTCTTCTTCCATGCCTTTCGCGCTATGCCAACCATCCGTCCAACGCACAGCTACGGCCCGAAGACCTAGATCGACGTGTGAACATATTGAACAAATGGTGGACTGGTTTGTTGGAAACTCTCAGTGGGAGAACAAGCAATTCCATAACGGGGGTAGACAGGCCTGTTTATCTCGAAGCCATTACAGCTATAATGATGAGACCCGAATGGCGAGCACCGACCTCTCCAAGTTCACCAGGTGCAACCCCAACTCAAAAGTCGGATTTTACTCGAAAATCCAATACGTCCCTCGAGTCTACAGGGTCAGACTTCCTGGTCGATTCCATTCATCACAATGTCCGTAACATACTTTCCCAGAACTTGCTTTCTCAGCTATCATATTGCATTGATAAAATGTCTACAAGGCACACACCTGCAAGCTTGGTTTCATTCGCAGGAAAATCATGCGCATACGCTTTCTTTTTCTGCCGGGATGTGTGCGATCTACTCGTGCGATTGTGGAATATTGGGCCTGAATTGATACGGAGGGTCATCAGTCAGTTCAAATCAGAGGGAAACCTATCGACCAGGAATGCAATGTCTGAACAAATCGCATCTCACTTCCCGCCGGTGGTGAGAGGATTAAGTTTCACTTCGCATGCTGCCTTGGTTCGTAATATGCGCCGGAACGCCTCCGTTCCTTTGGCTGCGTCCAACATCAACTGGTTTGGACCGTGGGTCTCCAGATGGTGTGGGCGAGATACTGACCTGTTTTTCGTTTTTGTGAAGCATTTCCACATTCTGGTTGCAGAGTTTTTGCCCGCGGGAACGGATTTTACAAAACGTATATATGTTCCTGGTCTGGTGCCGGTGCATGCTCAAATGCTAGTAGTCCTGGAGAGCACGCTCAGTAAACAGTCTAACCCCCAAATTCCGGATAATATCAATGGCCCTGCGACGACTACATTTGAAGATTTTATCGACGGAGCAGAGGCCACAGCAACTGGCTTCCCTCTGGGGGCTACGAATTCTTTGCGAATCATGTCTGAGAATCGGCTGATTTTAATACTGAAACACATCCTCCTGGACAACTCCGTGCCGTCGGATACGAAGCAATTTTTCCTTGAGACATTCTGTGGAATTCTCAAGCTGGCCGCTCGGAAAACCTCACTTTTTGACCATGGACCATGCTTTGTACTTTGCGACTTTGTTGAAGAGCTCCTCCCAATCATCCCTCCTTATTGCAAATCGACTGGCCAAGCCGATATACTAGACTGGGACTTTTGGCTTGAAGTTTGCAAGCAAATGATGAAAAGCAGAAATGTCGTTACTGAAGTACGAGCTTTTGCTTTTATATTCGCTGCTTGGGATGCTATCAATGGCGTGGAACTGAGAAAAGAGCTATTATGCTTAGGAATGCTGTTACAGGAAAAGCTCTTTTACCACTACTTCAGCCACTGGAGCCCCATGATCCGGTCCTACTTCCACCGGTTGATATGCTGGAGACTAGCACGATTAAATGAAAACCCTTCGGCTTTGGATAGGTAAGTTAGAATAGCTGCACTACATCTGGTAATATTTGCTAACCTTCTGTAGACGAATATACAATACTTTGTCCAGCCGGCTAAGTGAAATCTGGAGTTACTTTCTGTCTTATCAATCGAAAGCGGAAAAACAACTCACAGCGCCCCTCTCCGCAGTTCCTTGTACTCCAGCACCCGGGCGAAGAATAATAATAATCAGAGATGATGCTGTTCCTCCCCCAGCAAACCTCTTTGTATTTCTAGACAATATTTCCTCCTCAACCGGCCAGACCAACAATCTGAGCCAACGAGCTTTTGACGGAGATATTGATTCCGATCTAACCCCAGCACCAGCACAGCCACAAACGAAGAAGCGATGGAAAGTCTTGAGGTCGATATTCGGCAATGGCTCCAATCCAAAACCCGGTGAAGTAACACCACCTGGCAGCAGCTGCGACGAGCTTGATAGCCCGGACGAAGGAAGATCCGAACCGAATACATCGATAGCAGATCCAAAAAGCCCCGAGCCCAACAGAGCAGATTCCGAAGACACTCAGAAGCAATATAGAACATATACCTTCCGCTTTTGCCTCGAGTGGATGGACCGCCAAAGATGTCTCCCAAGGAACAGAAGGCTTTTCCCACCGTCGCTACCTGCACTAACCCAGATCTACCTGCAATCAACCCGCAACGTGGCTATCAGCAGTTCTGACTCTGGGTCTGGATCTGTGTCGAGGTCCATATCTGATACAAGTTCCGTCCTTGAATCTGATACTGACTACATGGAGGACGTCTCGAACGCTCCAACCACGGCCACTTCTCCTCCAATCGTCGGCTCTGGTTCCACGAAAGAAATGCCCTTTGCGCCATTCCAATGTCCTAGCAACAACTACTCCTTCTCCAGTAAATATGCCGGTCGAGCTTTGGCAGAATGGAGCTTGGTTGTTTCCGAATGTGATTGCTTTTTCCAGAGAAGACGAGATGAGGGCGTTCCGTATGATAACTTGGTCGAGATTCCAATGCTAGGCGTCGAGAGCTTTAGGAAATAAAGAGCTACGAAGTGCAGCGTCGGGAAGCGTACCTCGGAATATAAATTTTTATGCATGCCTTCCTTGAAAAAAGGGGCTTTTTACCACCAGGCGTTTCAAGCATGTTTGATCCTCTTTACTGGCTAACCCGGCATGGCCTATTCTTTTGGATCTTTCCCGTTTTGTTTTTTGTTTCCGTTCAACACCCATTTCCTATCCTGGTCTTCGTCGATCCATTTCCTTCTCGTCCGGCTCATAAACTAAAGCGGCGTTATGATTTAGCATTTACTTCGCGATTGTGGCGTTCACTCCTTTTTTTCCTTACGAAAGTGCCGTCGATTCATTTTTCTGCTTGACCTGATTCCTCCATGCAATACTGGGTTTAATAATATCTTGCTCCTCTTTTGCTTTCGGCTTTTTCCCTTTTTTAAAAGAAGTTGTCCTGGTACGGTATGGGCTGGAGTTCGTTTTCCTTTCTTTTTTCCCTTTCTTTTTTTGGTTTATCGTTTTTTTTCCTGATGGTTGCGCGGCATTGGACTGGTGGTTCTGATTCGACTTTATATGGAGTATATATCATGTCTTTTGGGGGACCCTTATGGAGAACCCAGAGATATTGTACCAAACAACACAAGTGTCCAGGCAGCTCACATAATCCATCTGCTGAAAAGCTCCTGGGCATGACATGTACTGTTAACCGAAAATCTATGACTTTGCGCTATATAAATACCTTGCTCATCCACATCGCTCTCAACAACTTCGACCATTGAATGCAGCCCCTTCCTACTAACCGTTCTGAATCCGTACTAGCATAATTTGCATTTCTTAACTATCCATATTTCATACAAGCATTGGTATTTCACAATCCAAAGAATCTTCTACAGCTTCAGGTATAGGCCCTAATCGCTAACGATAATACGATCTTCAAAGAGTAGGGGAATCTGGAGCATGAGGGATTGTCGTAGGATCTCCAGCTGGAAGATCAGGCTGGTCTTCGGTTGATTCTGGTTTTGGGTTTTCCATGGAATCTTGGGGCTCTGGACTGCGTGATTCCGGTTCGCCGTTTTTCACTTCTTCCTCCACATTGGTTGGCTCGACAGTTCCTGTCTCTTTTTGCTCGATCGAGGATTGTTCTGACTTGGGAAGGCTTTCACGTCGTCCCTCCTCCTGGCAAAGCACCAAAATTCCATCAGATCCCATTGACCAAACATTCCATGGCTCAACAAGTGTTATTTGAGGGGCTTGAGGGGCCTCTTTCATTGTATTTTCAGGTGTGGAAGAGACGGCAGGTTTTCTCCTTGCAGGACCTCGTGCCCTACCTTTACGCGCATCACTCAGTGGGCCTTTCGGAACTTCCGGTTTTTCTTCATCTTTCTTTTCCTCTGGTTTGGGCGCTTGAGGCCCAAGTTTCAAGCGGTTGTCTAGGTCCGACAGAAATCCTGCCTTCAACGCTGCGATTTTCGAACCGAGTGGGCGCGATGGGACAGGGGGTTTAGGTTTCACGGGTGCTGTATCGCTAGAACCGGTTGAAGTCACCTTGGTCAAGCTGTCTTGCGAAGTTCGTTTTGGTGGTCTGGCGGGTCTTGGCGGAATCTGAGGCTTAGGGCGCTCTGGAATAGCAGGTGGTTTCTTTGTTTCTGCTGGCGAAACTGTAGACTCGACTTGGGGAGGAGGAGCTTGGGGTTCAGGTGAAGTCTTCTGTGGTCTCTTCGACGGGCGAGAAGGGACCTCTGGAATAGACGGTTTCCTCGCGGCTTCTGGTGATATGGTCTCATTTTGTTGTTCTGGGATCTGCACAGTCGTTTCAAGTTGTTGACTTTCTGGAGCTTCTTCCCAGATGTCTTTGCTTGGGAAGCGCTGTTTAACCTGGGATCTGGCAGGCACATCATCGGCTCGGTTTGAAAACGCTGTTGAGATTTGATCTGACTTCTTTCGTGCATAGTGCCGGTTCCTCGCCATTTCTTCCTCTGGGATTTCGGTACTCTCGTCTTTTGGGCTTTCAGGTATAGATACTGTTGTTTGCAACTGTAGACTGTCTGGCGCGTCCTCCCACACATCTTTGCTAGGGAATTTGTGTTGGTGATACCCGGGATGCTTTGCAAGTTTCTGTTCCACCGATAATTGGTTCTCGTCTTTATCGTCATCAGGGAAGAGTGGTTCGTACTCTTCGACATCCTCAAGTGGTCGTCTCATATCCTCGAGTTCTTCTACTCGCGAGCTATATTTCAATAGTTTTGGGCTAGGGAGGGGTCTCGCGGAGGTTCGATTGCTACCAACGCTGGGAGATCGGCTGTGTTTTTGTTCAGGTGAGCCGATGCCGTGAAGGTTTTCTTTCCTACCTAAAGCGGGTGATATTGCTGGCTGTAAATGTTCGGCGCGCTCATCAATTTCGTCTTCCGCGAGTATTGGTACATCCTTTTCATAATCATCCAATGAATCATCGCCAGGTGGCTTAGGTTCGTCTGGAGCTGGCATAAACCCATCCGGATGATGCTGGTGGTGAATTGGTTCGTCTATGTGGATTTTGACCTCCTCTCTGTTGTCTTCGCGTGTTGGCTCCACGGGAGAATGCTCATCCTTTCGGGCGTCAAGACCCTTAGAATCAGAGCTTTTCTTTGGTAATTCTGTAGCTGCTTCAATATTCTGGGAGTCTTGCTGATGCACCTTTGATCCGTGCGGTGGCGACGCAAGGCGCGAGGCAAGTTCTTCGGTGGCTATATACCCAATCTCTTCCTCCGGGGTACCCATAAAATCTGCAGAAGTGCCTGACTTTCATCAGTTTGGGCGCAAATCATTCGTATTAGACAGGGCACCCTTACCGAGTCCAATGCCTTTTGTGGCGGATGACTTAACCATTTTATTTAAGTCGTCGCTTGACATAACCCATTCCGGTCTAGGACTTCCGATCCCCGAGCCGTAATGCCCTTGTTCTTCACGAGCTAGTTCTTCGGGGTGCTTCTCATACCACGCTTTTTCAAATTTATCGTTTGAAGGCACGCCGTGACCGTGAAGTCCATAGCTACCAGGAGGAAGAGAGTTTTCTCGCGCACTTCGATTTCGGGCATGCTGTTGTCGCTGAGAGCCAGAATTATCACCCCTGTAACCTTCATTATGGGCTCCCAAAGTCGCAGGAGTGGGCGCTTGCACATCACCAGCGTTGGGAATCATGGGGGCCCGCTGACCAATTTCAGGAATACCGTGCTCGTCCTCTAGCTGCTCAGATTTGCGTGGTTCGCTTGAGGGCTCGTTCTGGGCGCTTAGTTTCCTATTTTGTGTCCCTTCTTCATCAGTTGCTGAAGCTGATTTCCCAAAACCTGCGGCTTCAGCCTGGCGGGAGTCTGTCCTTGTCACAACTTCCACCTGAGCCATTGCACTAGAGCCCGGTAACGAAGGTTTTGGTGCGTAAAGGTGTAGATCCTGATTAATACCTCTTGTCTCAGCAGGTTGTTGGATCCGGTCTCTAGCTTCGCCTTCATCGCTATCCCCATTTGTAACATCTATACTTTCATATTCCATTCCTTCTTGACCAACTGATGGAAGTGCCGCGACACTAGGAGGGTGTGAAGGGGGGTTTGTATTCGAATGGACAGCTTCTCCAGGAAGCGCATTTAGTGGCGAGGGCGCAAAGGTGTCGTGCATCGGAGATATAGGCCGATCAGATCGTCGTCTCGTTGGGCGAGGTGGAATCTTTGGAACATCTGGATTGGGCGGAGACATGGTATTGGGTGAGCGAGAGGGCCGCGGTGGGATTGTCGGAGGGGCTCTTGTCGCCATTATAAGTGATTAAGGGCCGTCAAAAAAATATCGAAAGTAATGCTACTAGATACCATTAGTAACTCGCAACAACGCGGCCACTAACTGCTGCATGAAGATTGGTTCATATAGGGTATCACGTTGCTGAAGCATCAGCAAGCTAACCAAAGTGTTACTAGCACATCAAAACCAGTTCTCCGCAATTGTCATAAATAGTGATCACTGCAAAAATTAGGCCTCTCTGGACTTCCATTTTGGGCTTTCTGCCATCCGTACTCCGTATACATCTGTATATTAGGCAAGAACTGCGGAGCTTCAGTCGCAAGCTTTCTCGACGGAAAAGCAAGCAGAAGTGGCTTAAAGAAAAGGAAGAGCTATGAGACTTCTTAGCATTGATGAATTCATTGCTTACCTACTTATATAACGGCGATCTGCGAGGTCCTCAGCCCTGAGTTGACAGACGGACTGACGTAGTTAAGTATATACCAAGCGAGGCGGAGAAAGGTAATCAACAACTCAAGGCCAAAAGATCCAATCGTGCACACGGGCGAATCAACTATAAGTTCATTATTACTTCGTAAACCACATTCAGGGTCTTGATATACACTGAGGAGTATGAGAGGAGGTTCACGCTTGGAAGCTCTCCCCCGGGATCTTTGAAGCAAGCCGCATGACATAATCGTGGCTTGAAAGCCAAGATTACCGCCAGTGGTATGACGTGGTATCGTATCCATGGCGACACTCACGGCTTGGAGCACAGCCGCCTTTTATTGGCCGGTGGGTTTCAGGTACGGTATCTGGAGTACACGCTGTTTCAGAGTTTACGGCAGTGAGCAGAGCTGCAGAAGTGTTCAAATACATAGCAGAACACGTCGTTGGAGGATCTGAGGATGTCCATGTTTGGTTGCACGCAATTGATGAGGACCAGGTATTGACAAAAGGTTGATTTTCAACACAAATGAAAAAGGTATCATGCATCCTACCTACCTATACATCAGTATAGCAGAGAAACAGTTTAAAGAGCAAGACACCATCCCAAACAAAAGAGCCATGGTCAGAAAGCAAGCTGGGGTAAAGAGTACATAAAACATGGGTCTTTCCAATGTCATCTCAGAAATATTATGGACCAATCTCGCTTGGCGCATCATACACACAGTAGTTATTCTGCACCCATAACCAATCTTACACAATCATCTGGGCCACTCCTTGGCCGCCAAGCGTCTTGCTGCCGGTAAATTCTTGTTTCATCAAGCCTGCTACAAGGTAAAAGAAAGCAGCAATGGCTAGCACCACGGCCGGTGCAATCAAGGCCGAGGTTCCAATGATGAGGCTGAGCCACAAGCCAGCGCTCATCGCACCATATACAATCGCGCGCATGAAGTTTGTGGTGAAGCGACGAATAAAGGCATCAAATTTCGAGGACGTGGGACAGATTCGAAGAAGAAACGGAACCTCGATAAAAAGTAGAATCGGGGAGTAAATTCTGCAGTATCATTAGCAAAGTAGGCTAAGATGTCGAAGCGGCCTCTGATGTCATCGGTTCACTTACATTGATATTATGCCGAAAGGAATATACTTAGAAAAGACAGCTGAAAGGCCGATTGCGAAGCAAAGTATTATGCAGAGAACTCCAGCCCTATATTATCGCGTTTGGTTTCAGTAAGCCATTATAATACATACCATGGAAAGGGGTTTGAGGTTCAAAGCATACCATTGCCCATAGATACCTGTGGTGCTCTGGTTAGCAATCTAGCTTCCTTACAGGAATATGAGCTGTCAGCTGCGTAAGCAGCTTGCAACGGAGCACTTACTGAAATTTCTTGACTTGAACTCCTCTGCAATCGTCATTGTGAGTAAAGTGCGTGGGTTGGAATGGAAACGATTCGCTCGAAAACTAATAGGCGTCGGAGTCGTCAAATGGCTGAAGTAGGTAGTAACCGGTCGTCAAGGTCGTAATGTCGTGGCTTTGTTGGCGTGACTGAAAACCTGCAGAGTCCTTGAGCTGTGAGCTTACATACAACAAAGATAGCGTTGCATTAACCGATGACGGTTGGGGGAGCAACGGCTATTAAAGACAGGTATATAGCGATGAAGCTCTTACCTAGCAAAGCTGGGAAAGGCAGCAGAGCGGACGCACAAAATCGTTGAGTGAATTCGTCAGGAATGAGCGATCGTAGCTGTAATTCGGATGCCAAGCTGGAAAGAGGACTATGTGGACGATTCAAGCACAACCCGCCGAGAACAGAGCTCTTCGATGCGGAATCTCCTGGCGGTACGGAAACGACAAGACACGGTGCAAGAAAAGAGAGCAGGAACAGGGAATGGTTCTTTTCGTGAGACGGCCAAAAGGATGTGCTGGACTGTTCGCAGTTGAATTGAAGACGACCCGGGATCAAATGATGTGATACCGATTGTCCAAGCCACAGTTTGCGCGAATGCACTTGCCTAAACACTTAGCCCGCGCCAAGCCTTCGGGCACGGCGTTATTTGCCATATATGGAATAGTGGCCTGCTCCCTGACAAAGCATTTTAAAAGCGGCAGCCATGATCCATTTCACCCCTGGGCAGTCTTCCATGGATACCTCTACCCTACTACCATCAGAGATGTACCAAGAGCTGATGTTCAACCATTTTTATGTCTCGAGTTACGATACGGCTACCTTTGTTCTGGAGTACTTTTGTTAGACAAATATATCGGGGGAACAACATGGTGAGAAGCTTATGATACCAAACTTTGAGTTGCAGCATCAAGTCGGATTCATTCGAGCATGACTTCCAAAAGGAGCTCAGTGCTACAATTCTGGTGGCCGGATGCTTCAACAACAGTTCAGGGGGTAGAGTGATACTTTAGGAATATATCCAGGTAAATCGACATCCTCCCTGGCGTGCCATTGGGACGCCGTAAGCCGTCTATTGCAGTACTTCGGGCAGTTTGCTGGCAAGGATTACCGTCAAAAGGGTGCTCAATCCGGTTTATTTAAACCAATACAAAGACGCAGCTGCAACTATCGTTTTGATCAGTAAACCGGGAGAAAAACCAAGGGGCCTAAACTAGAGGTACTTTGCGACAGCCAGCCCCAGCCCATCAATCCTCTTGAGATCTTGTGGCCCGCAAGACGGTTTGCGAATTCCATCATTTTCTGGATGTTGTAGTCATCCTTGTAGTGTGTCAGACAATACAATATACCGGCAATGAATGTGTCGCCAGTCCCCATTGTGCTGCCAAACCATAACAAATAAGCATGCTGGGCTTTCAAGGAACTAAAAATGTCCACGTACTCAACAACCGGAGAAGTATCCGTGAATGCAGGGGATTCAATATATGTCATGCTGTGCCTATCAAGACTCAGGGCACCTTTTGCACCCCATGTGCAACACAAAAGTGACCTAAATCATATTAACGTCTAGAGCTATACGCAAGCTATGTGTATATGTCAAGGTAAAACACCTACGCTTTGAGGGTTAAGGACGACCGTGCGTGTAAAAGAGCCCAAGGGGATTGATAGCCGTTTCCCTGAAACCAGCAATATGTAGTTATCAATTAACAGCGTCATTGTCGAAAGATAAGCATCTCTAGAACTTACCTGAGCCCAACTTTTGGAGTAGTCAGGGAGTTCATTATAGTTGACGATTGTCCTGGAGCCAGTAGATTGACTTCTAATGATATAACTGGACGCAGGTTCATGGCACAGATCCCGATATATACAATGCTGAAGGTTAATATTCGAGTTGAGGGAATCTTCAATCTCCCTGACTGCAACCGACGATCTTGCAGGCAGCGCTGTCGCAGCATAAAACGGTACTCCGGACTTTTGGCCCGCATCCTACAAGCTGCTGGAAAACTTGGAGAGAGTTCGTAATGTTTCCACCAAGACGCCGTGAAATTGTTGATGCACGTAGCTTTTCATCTTCGTTCGGGTAGTATGCGCCCAGAACGGATGTTAGTGCATGCTCGTTCAGAAGCATCGGTAACGCACTCACGTTAGAATCGTGTCAAGGTAAAAAGCTCATACTGCTATCAGAGCTCTCATAGTTGCTGTAGGGGAGGGGAATCCCGTACTAGTAGTAGATATGACGGTTGCTTTTATCATTGGGCTTGCGGGGCCTTACTATACCATTTGGTTAGACGTGATGGAATGGCTTATATATACCTTGTAATCGTGACAGAGCCTGAAAGACTTGCCGAAATCTGCGGAGTGAGAATATATAGCTTATATCTGGAGGTATATCTGGGTCAATCAAGGGCGGAAGGAGATTTCCTGCTACGGGTTTCGGTACTGAGCTCAAGAAGTTACTCCGTAGATTTACAGTTCTTGTGTTGAAAATTTGAAAATTTGCTAAATGATCGTTTCATAACAAGGGAAATTGCTTGTTGGTCTGGCTTCTTATCAGGCCCTCTCAATGCAGCAGTTTCATATTGGTAGATACCTCATACAACCATCCAAGTTGCCCCTGCACAACATTATCCGGATGGCTCCTAGGCACGATTTACGATGAGTAGACCAGGCGGAAAATGTCGTTAAACACGAAATAGCTGCCAGCACCGTCGGGGAGAAGTTGGAAAGTTTGAGAGTAGCTCATGGGTTTGGCCTCTTCGTCAACCTACAATCGCAAAACAATTAGTCCCTTATCTTCTGCTCCAGCCCCTTAAAACCCCTCACGGCCCGCAAAGCGCCCATCTGCACTCACCAAAAGAGCACCAGTGACCATAACCACAATTCCGCCCGTATTCGTTGGCTGGGCATCCAAAGTCGAAACCTGATGAGCAACCTTCTGGAATGGGAGAGTCTAGATCAAAAGCGTAACAGTTAACGATGCAGTTCTTCAAAAACATTATGACATAGTACTAACGGTCAATTTCTCAAGGATAGAGGCGGCGCCTTGAATCGAGGTGGTCTCAAAAGTCAACATAGACTCGGCGCGCTGTTCGACGTGTAAGCATTTCACCGTCCGTCAACATATCATTTCGCGTCCAGAGACTGTTCCCTACATATAACGCCGAGAGACCAGCTCGATTTTCATCGAAAGTCTTGTAGTAGAACTGAACAAATTGTTCTAATCATCTTGTCAGCCACAGGTCTCAAACCGTCGGGTACTCCAGCTTTGTAGAATTCCGTATCGAAAAGTCATAAGCAGAGAATAAAACGTACGCGCAACTTCGTTGAAATCTGAAATTAAAAGTGAAATGTTAGTTATCTCATAAACTACACGCCCAAGGCAGCTTTTCCCTGTCCCGCATGATCGCGCCCAGTTTTCCGAGAACAAGCTGGATTCGGTCAAGCCGGGTATCTGGGGAGCGGAGCAGAATCAAACCTACTATTAGACATTTTGTCTGTTTCTGGTATGCAAGTCGCCTTGATAAGCACAATCTGCTGAAGAAGTTGTCTGAGGTCACTGGAGATCGATGAACTTTGGAGGCAGAAGATAGATGGTGGGGTTGTTGCTAGTGGGGTGGGAAAAAAGCAGCCTTCACAACCTCGCTTGGCAAGATGCCCCTTTTTCTCCCAAGGCTAGGTACAATCATGCCCAAATCACGAGAAAATACAAAACTACACTCCCCTACCATACAGTAATCAACAGCCTATGGAGTAGAAAGCACTCTCTTATCATGACATGTCAGTTATTGATCTCTAGTTTGATCATTAGTAATCGCTTAATCCGAATCGGAATCCGCAAACATGTCTTCCGCTTTGGGACGACGACGTTGAGCGGGAGATTCGGGCGTCGATGTCGCAGGCTTATCAAGCTGTTTTTCTTCCATCAACATTTCAGATCCCTGCTCCTGGGCTTCCGGAGATTCATCATTCAGAGCTTGGCCGTCCAGATCTTCCATGTCACTGTCTTCCATTGGAACACCGTCAAGATCTGACATTGGCCCACCGTCGACATTTTCATCGTCCGTTAAACGTTGCCCATCAACATCCACGTCCATTTTCTGAGCATCAGCGCTGGGTTCACCATCGTTTGTGTCGGCTTTCGCGTTAATATCATCCAACGTCTTCCATTTGCCTTTACCCCTCCCACCAAACACCGTAGAGTTTTTCTCTGCCTCCACTCGAGCCTTTTCCTCAGCCAGTTCATTTTCAGTGAGAGGTGGCCGTTCGAACACCTGAACGAAATGTTCATGGCTTGACTGAGGAAAAACACACCAACTCTCCCAGAGACTCAAGAGATTTCCAATACTTCTTCTCCATTTTTCTATTTTCAGGCGACCCCATCCGAGCTCTTTCTCAAGTCGCCCAAGGTGCTCGAAAAGTTTGTGATTCTTGAGTGCTGTCTCGAATAGCTGCCTATAACGCCAAGCATGGCGAACACCGCTCGTGGACGACGACGACAAAATGTCCGAGATAATATAGAGCCCTACTAGTTGCGCAGGTGATGTGTCTAGCTTTTCTCTATGCGCAAGCTTCACCGATTGCTCAGCCGCATCACCATCGCCACCATTAGCCTCCTTGCCCTCTAAAGGCTCATCTGCTTTTGCATTTCGAGCTTCAGTTTCATCCCGCTGCCTTTCGGGGTTTGCCGTAGTATAAGCAAAGGGACGTTTTGCATTGGACACTATCAAGTTCACCACTTCGTCAGCTCCTTCCCCCGCATGATGTATGGCGAATGCTGTGACGCGAGCGACATCGCCCCGGCGAAGTCTCGTATTAGAGGTCGGGAGTCGCGCAAGAAGATGAACTAGTTTGGCTTTTTGTAGCGGGTTCAAGTGGCCAGTCCCGTCGCTTGTCTCGTTCGAGGCCTCATTGATACGCCTCTCGTCTTCTCTATCGGAGTCATCCTCTTCAGAGGAATCGTAATCTTCATCGGAGACGAATTGGTCCAACTGAGTTATGAATTCAAACTCCAATTTCTTTTCTGGAGCCACCCAGCTCGGCCCGTTCTCAAAGATATACGCTGGAGCAGCGCAGATTCGGCTTCTGCTAGTGCCATTTTTGGAATTTGTAAGAATATCCCACAGCTTCCATCTGTACCATACGCCACCAACGCTCCTAGGGTTCCAAATCCATGCCCATTTTTCCTCTTTCTGCACTTCCGGGCGACTCATAAGAAGGGCTTCAAATTCGGGGCCGTAGGTCAACAAGCTCTCCAATGTTTTATGAATCAACTTCAGCTGTTTTAGGTCGGAAGGCGGTTTAACATCGATTTGCAGTGCCGGTCCGCTCCTTTTACCGTAGCCAGGACCATAGGAAGCCGGAGGCGCAAATCCAGAACGATGGGGACCGGGAGGGCCACGACCAAATGCTCCAGGACCATGCGAGACCGGGCGGGCTCCAAAAGGTTGGGAGGTGAGGGATGCAAGCCCGGGAGTAATAGGTATCGCAGCATTAACTGCAACAGAGGAAAGGTGTCGAGATATGGAAAGATAAAACCCCCACCCTAAGTATTTATTCTGCAACGAGCTCACCACTGTATCCATATCAGTAGCAGCGGTCTCTTTGGCCAAAGTGACAATAGCAGACCAAATCTTTCGTTCTCCGCTTCCTTGACTGGTTGGCGGTATGATCTTAACATTATCCACTACCAACACGGGCGGAATAAGCGCTTTGACGACGGCTGGCGAGGTTCCTGGGGGCAACGAGGAAAGGTGCAGAGTGGGTTTAGCGGCCGCTCTGTCTGCTTCTTTCTTCTCCACGGTTTTCTCTTCCTCGTCATCAGATGTCCGAAAAGCAGCGTCAACTGGCCCAGCGGGATTCTCGAACGCGAAGATGCCTCGACTCGTGTCGCGGTCTCGAGACGACGTTGGGTAACCATCGTATGTCCGCTTTTTCGAAAAGGGTTGCGGAGGAGGACCTAAACTCCCGATCGCTGAACTCTTCATTGTCCCGCTTGTGAAGTGTCGCCTTGCTGGGCCTGCAGCCGACGGTCCGGGCGGAAGGTTGCTAGGGCGATATGAAGGCGACCTGCCTGCTGTGGCAGGGGATGACGATGAATCGCCATCGTCTTCAAACGATTTGAGGAAGTCCTCGTAGACGGCTGCGGTTTCGGCCTTCTCTCTCGCGCGTTTGGCTTCGGCCTCTGCTTTCTGGCGTTCGAACAAGGACTTTCTCATTGGGGCTGCTGGTTCTTAGGAGAGTTTGAGCAATGATTTGTTTTTGGGTCATCGGGCATACTTAGCTACCGAGCAAGAACTGAAGTAAAGGCCAACTGACGTCCACAAGATCTAGCAATCAATCTGCAGCTGCGAGAGTCAGTGATCCAGTAGTGATGCCAAGACAGGCGGTTAAGCGGTACTTTAAATCACATAGTAACGCGTTTGATTGGCTAAGTGCTGTATCTTTGTGTATTGGCAAAATGGCCAAGTATTTCTTGGCGCGAGCGATGTTTGTTTCCATCGACATCAAGTTCAGCTCTCTCACTCGCTTTCATATGTAGCCGATGACCATGAAGTTGACTCCAGCATTTGCCCTTGGACACCCTAGGCCAAGAGGGATATCATGCCAATTTGGATATGGACTTCCAAGATGCACTTATCTCCAGCTTTCCGAATACCTGAGTTCGATTGAATTTTTGTCCCCCCGATCCATAACCTCATTCGACAGGCGGATTTTCCGTGCAATAACAAAGAAACATATTGGTACTTGGCAGCTGGAAGTGATGCCATGATGCTATTTGCCAGAACTAAACGCAGAAGGCGCATCGTTTGGAACATAGGCCAAACCGGAGAAATGCGGATGTATAGGAACTGCCACTAAAACAACTGCGGAAAAGGGCCGACGAGAACTTTGGTAGAACGTGAGAACGTTTTTGAATGCAGGAAATCAAGTCAAGCTGGTGGATTGCAAATTGGTCGAATATTTATATTAAAAAGACGCACAGCCAATATCAACCGGAATGGGTCGGGGCCAACCATCAAGCCGAGTGCAAAGGTTCACAGAACCATTTCTCGCGGGGTTGAAAACCATGGACTCACCGACTTTGTGTTCTCGGAGCCTTTGACGTCCGAACTTACTCGATGTCAAATAGACCCTTTCACCCTTTGTCAAACACGAACTTGCGCATAGATAAGCCAAGATTTGAAAGTAGTTTGGAAGAAGAAACAAACCCACAGAGAATAGTTGTCGACATTTTACGACGGCTCAAATCCAGTGCCTTTTCATGACATCCACAGGTTCTCATCCAACTGGGGCCCATTCGCGAAAGAAGAGCATACTAATGACAACACTAGAATGAGCAAGTGAGAGAACTACGGAATACTAGTTGCATTCTCAACTCCGGACAGTGATGGAATGCAACATTGTTGGAAGAGCAGTTTCAGGGGTTCGATAGTGCGGACTGGGATCCCAACACGAGGCCAAAGCCACCGCTACACAAATCCTACATCTCCAATGAGGGCAAAGTGGACGTTCAAAAGGGATGAGTGGGCATGACCGAACCCCCTAAGACGATTGACCTAGAGTGCAGAGACCAGGCTACTGCCCTCACAGTGCTGCCCTCACCCGCCCAGCGACATAGGCGCTCGGAGACCCGGAGAAAGGCCCCGGTTGGGCATTCAATCCCGGCTTGAGCCCCGGGCGGTCACGTGCTGATCCTGTGCGCGATGCCAAGGCTTGACCTTACCGTATTGAAACGTAACTGCGAGTTGGCAGTACGCTGACTCAGCAGATGGCTTGATTGCAGAACAACAACTTCCTTCCATCCCATCCACCTTCGCTGCTGCTTTTCACCCCAAGGCTCTCCCGCGGCCAGTCCCTCGTTGACTCTGTCTTCTTTTCGAATACGCTTATTTTCGCTCTTTACTTTTGCCAGAAGACGAAGGGAATCCAGAAACACGGGCAATCTGGTCGCGCTCTTATATACCGAAAGGGGTTCAGTCCCCAAGTGGGCAGTGCAGTCCACTCTTCACAATGGCTGAACCGCCCGTGTCACAGCCGCCAGCAGACACACGCGACGAACCACCGGGGGATTCCCTCACGACGCAGACTCGCTCGCTATCTGAAAGCTCTTCCGAACGATCCCCAATTGAAAATGTATTTAGCGATGAGTTCTCGTTGGAACCTCTTGATCAATTCAGTAGCAACCGCAGTTCCTTCACCAACGGAGCCTCGTCAACCAACTCCCCCGTATCGCCATTGTCCGCGAACGGAGAACGACCATCGTCCATGGTTAGCCCTTTCGACGACTCTCCGGGCTCGTCAAGAATACAGATGCAAACGACCTGGGATCGCCCCATAACGTCTCAGCAGAACAGACATGCCCCGGTTGAAACAAGTTCAGTTGCACGAACCACTTCTGTTTCATCAGAAACGACAAGTAATCTGTCGTCTAACGGGAGGAGTTTAAGCCCATCTCGATTCTCAATACCTCGTGCCATGAGTCCCTATCGTGGCCAAACCGCACCAAGTCATCCCTATGCAATGTACCCTCAGGGAATTGGCGTCGCCAGGTCGCTGTCTACCTCTACTGTTTCGACCATTCGCCCCGCCGAGCGCACCTTTGTCGCAGCGGCTCCACCGCAGCATCCGTATGCGATGTATTCCCAGAATACCGTTCCGGAAGAAGCCGCGGATGAGCCACTTAATCCGGCCTTACCAATCGGGTTCCCGAGCCAGAATCAACCGTATCAAGTCCCTATCTCGAACCAAACGCCTAACGAAGTTGGAGATATAGTGGGCCCGGACGGCCACACCGAGCAGTTGCCTCCCTACTCTAGATATCCAGAGAGCTATTTTGGCAAACGAGAGTTACCGTCCGACGAGGACGCCAGTGCGGACTCTCCCCAATCCCCAGATGGAGCAGCAGATCCAACCCAAGCGGCTGCAAATACCGACGTACCTGAAGATAGACAGGATCCAAACCCGGATCCAAATGATGCTAGCGGCGGTTTCAAGGAAAGACTAACAAAGAAAGGACAGAAGAAGGTTTGTTGCGGTGTACCGCTTTGGATGTTCTTCCTTGTTGCAGCTGTACTGCTCTTAGGAACCGTCATTGGAGGGGTAATAGGTGGGCTTTTGGGGTCTCAACAAGGAGCAAAGCGCGTGCCACCCGCTACGGACTCACCGTAAGTTTCTCTCACTCTAGCTTGATGGTGTAACTGATCCTTAAAATCCCTTTCGTAGAACGGCCACCGTTACAGTTACTCCTACTACTTTAGATGCGATTCCTCCCTTATCATCAGGACCGCTACGACCACTTCCCACAGGAAAGTTTAGCTTCCCTGCCAGTACACTCCAGGACAATTCGAGCAATTGCATCCCGGCGTCAGCATACAAAGGAACCTGGCAATGTAGAAACGATGGTTATTTCCATTACGAAGTCCAGAAAGACGAGGATGGTAACGCAACCATCATGATGTTTAACTCGTATAATGTGAGCGGGCGATTCTACTATGGTGCTCAACCACCCATTTTCAGCGAACCCGATTATCCTCTTGAATTAAAAATGGATAAAACAAACAAATCTCTTGGAACGGCGTACTTCTTCTATACCGCGATTGACAAGCTTGTGATTGTTTCGGAAGACGAATTCCCGGGCCCGGCACCGGATAGACGGCGTGGCCACAGTCTGTCACAACGTCACTGGCCCGGACTGTATCGACGAGTCTATGCCTCACCTGGTGACAAGCCGTGGTTTTGTTGGTGGAATTCCACCCTCATCGAGGTATTCATCTATGCGAATGAGGACAGCTCGGCATCCGACACTGCAAACCGTTCCCAACCGGAGTCCGTCACGGACGACAACTTCACTCCCCTCTTATAAGCCTGACGCGACCGTCGAGCGACGGGGCGAGAACACAAGGACTCCGCCACTCGAGTTCTATCCTCGTGCTTTCAAAATTGAGGAGCAACGGTTCAGCGCTCATGGTCAACAGCCTTACTGTGAACAGATGCAAGTCTTGGACAACGGGAACGTGAACCGACTATCGCCAGATCAAGTACCCATTGACGAGATATATACCTCCACAGATATGGGCTCGACAGCGAATGGCGACAAGAAGTTAGTAGAACGGGGCGACTTTCACGACATAGGTTGCTTTTGTCAGTACTTTTACGATTGAGTCTCGATATCTCTCTTGCCTAAATGCAGAGCAATTGGGCGTTTCTTCAGTGCGTCTCGGGATTCCAGGTTCATTTGTTCGGAGTAAACGGTTTTCGTGTACATTTTTGCGCTTTACCATGATTTCATATCTCATTGATCGACTCGGCAAACGTTACGGATTAGTGACTCCGAATCTCCCCGTCGCTTCCCATTCTGGATAGCATTATACCACCGCCTGATTGTTTATACGGTTTCCTTTCAAACCTCCTTATGGTTTTGTGTTTCTCGCATTCATGGGATCGGGGGGAATATACTTGTCCTGTCTTTAAAATTGTCCAGAGTGACATATCTCTGTGTTTCTCGTACACATCCCCGATAAACCTACCCTACGCCTCGTCGATTCTCTTCTCTTTTCCCGGTTCCTTCAAGCGTTGGTTCCCCTTTATCACGACAAACCTCCCAACCCCAGACCCCGAGTTCCTGTATATTTCATGGGCCAGCCCATATATATTCTATATCCCCGATGTACTCCAACCCTTGAATCTTGCGAGGAACTTTTTACAGTTTCCTTCTGTCACTCGCTGTGGCTGCAGGTTCTATCTAATTCCTTCTAGTATATAGCCTTTCCCTCCTGTCGTGTTAATCTACCAAAAGAGGAATATGAAAATACGGCTAGTCTGTTTGTGTGCAGGTTTCCTGTCAGCAAGATACCACTTTTCAATAACGAAAACTGTTTCCACGAATTGGTCTATTTTAATAACCTATTAGTCTTGTCTCTTCAAGAGTCTCAGTTGCTCCAATAATGCTCAATTGCCCAGTGTAAGACAGTCCCAGAACAATTATACGGGGGTCCTTTACCAACATCAGGCCACTTGAAAGCTCCATCGCATTAATACTCTCTATTATTATGTGTCCCGGGGCAGCACAAAACTCTGCTTTCCGAGAAATCATCGTCAAAACTCCCGCCATCCTCAAGGACATCGATGAACATGGGTGCCAGCCAACCAGGGGGTGCCCTCTTCCGCATTTTCTTTGCCACAGTTTATGTTTTGAAACAGGGTGATGCAGCACAAGTGTTTGTGTTTCGCGGGGATAGACTGCCGTGATTGGACGTGTGGCTGTTCCTCGATCCTGTATGACGGCGGGGGGAGGAGGGTGGTGTGGATAACTTGTTAGGTTGGGATCCCTGAAGCCTCCAGGTGGCGGAGTCACGGCACGGTGAGTCAAGTTGCATCAACTAACTAACTAATGAGTAGTAACTCCGTAGGAGGGAAGTTCAAGAGCAATTTTCTTTTTATAACACATCCGAACATCGGCTGCGAGATGAATTATCATAACTAAACAGGAAGACAAGCATGTGGAATAACGCAACACCCAGCGACGAAGCGGACCCGTTCCTAGCCTACCAAAATCCGCAATTCCGAGGCAAATAATAGTTAACGAGTCACCATTTGTGTCAAAACATAGAAAAATTATAAAGAGACAAAATGCAGAGAAAAACTTGACACAAAACCGGAGAATGAAAAAAAGTCGTATTCCCATTTATACGATCCGTACCGACGCCACTCCCATCAGTCACATCCACCCATTTACAAGTCAACCTTCTGCCTGGCGCCGGCTGCCTTATCCTTTGCAGAATCGGCAGCCTTCTGTCCCTGGGCTCTTCCACTCAAAGCGCCAATCTTTAGTTGGTCCCAAACCCACTGGCCAGCACTCCAGGCTCGATCGAAAATACCCGCTTCCTGCTTGAGTGTGCCATACATGAAGTAGTTCGCATTCTGCCTCGCTTGCTCGCGCAGTTCGTCAATCTCAGCGTCACGCTTAGTTTTGAGTCCGTAGGATTCCAAGTATCTCCGGAGATCGTCCTTTGACCAGGTGTTGAAGGTCATGTCCTTGGCTGCCCCGGTAGCGGAAGCCATATAAGACGTCACTGAAGCGTAGTTACTGCCGCCGGTCTTGGAAGCACTGGCATATGCGTCTTGGGCTTGCTTCAGGAGTTCATCTCGGTTGCTACTAAGCTTTTCCATAGCCTTTTGGTGTTGAGAAGATAAGTATTTTCTGCAACATTACCGTTAGCAAGAAGCATTCATAAGTCATTACTACCGATAAAGGCGGCTTACCCGAGATTCTCTTTAGTCCAGGTGTCGAAGGTCCAAGCTGAATATCCAGTGGATGCTTTATGTCTGTGCAGTCGCACCTTGGCCAGAAGCTCATTGCGCTTTGACCCTTGAGGAACAGGTACACCGCGGGCATCGAGAAAAGCTTTGAGTCGTGTATCAGACCACTTCTCAATGGCAGCATTAAACATGTCATCCATCTTTCGCTTGCGCGTCCTCCGTTGCCCGTGCGAATTCGTTTCCTGCCTTTGAAGTCGCGGCGCCGTATGCTGAGCTGATCGAGGATGTTGGTTCTTCAACAAGAGACCTGCGATGCTTGCGTGCCAACGCCACCAATTCATTGCGTCGAGAGCCTTGTGGGACCTTTATGCCGTGTTCATCGAAGAACTTCTTAAAATCTGATTCGGACCATGCGTTGAACAAAGCTTCAGTCAGGCTCTCCTGAGCAGCGGCTGCTGACGAAGAGGCAGCTGCCGCGGCCTTTTGGGATTCAATACTCGCGCGTCTCGAGTTCCGTCGAACAGCAGCAATCAGCTTATCGCGAGTCGTTGGCTGAGGGACGGTATACCCCGTGACTGTCAAGATATTCTTTTAAATCTGATTCTGACCATTGTTCATAAAGCCAGTTGCCCGGATAAAATGTTGTCTGGCCAAGTTTCTGGGCCACCGATTCGTAATTTTCTCGAACGGTGGACAACAAGGTGTCCCGCTTTTTTGGCTGAGGGCTCGGAACTCCATGTCTGTCCAGGAACGCCTTCAAATGCGAATCACTCCACCTGCTCCTTATCAGCACCTTTTCGCATTCTTGCCTTCATCTGGAAGCACGTACGAATCAAAAATCCAATCCTTGGCATGTGCATAAGAATCGCCGACTGCATCTGCAGTATGAGTTATGGGGGCCTGAACGTAAGTTTCCCAATTGGACTTGACCAGGCTTTCAAGGTCCTTGCGGTCAGAAGGAGTGGTATGGGGAATGTCTAATTCGAGTCAATTAGCTCAGAGCCTTGTTGCCTCGGGGTGCCGAATGCAGACTTACCATGATCAGCCAGCCAGCGCTCCAATTCAGTTTCATGCCACTTGTTATAGACTGCAAAGATTTAGATTTCTATCTAATAACATGACTAAGCCCGTTGGGAAAAGGGCATCAGTTCGAAACCCTGCAAGACTTACCAGCTTTGCTAAACCAGCTGCTTGATCCTACAGCCTCAGTGACTGCTAGGGCTAGGACCAAGCCCGTTGTAAACAACTTCATGCTAAAGGATTATTCCCCACTTAATTTATATGCTGTTCCACGGAATGAACAATGTGAAAAGTGATGGAAAGAGTAGCAACGGCACCGTAGCTGTAAGAAGTACCATTCAAAGGCCAGTAGCTCCAGGAAAGCCCTAGATATATGAAAGAGAGGATTCAATTGATATCAAGGCCTGTAGAACTTGGGCCAGGCCAACTCGAAGCAGGGAAAGCTGTTTGATAGAGGAATGAGCTATGACGTTGAGTGACGTATGGCAGCCTGTTTGCACCAATGTTTGCTTCTGGGGAAGGCTAGACCGGAGTAGGAAAGGCGTAATTTAGTCAGCCAACCCTATTTCAAGCTCACGTCACATGAAGCCCAACGGGCATCAACCTCAACAGCGGTTGAGACAACGGGATCCTTTTGATGGAATATCTCATATACTGTCTAGTAGACGCTTCCTGGGCTACAAGCTGTACACAATGGATCCACACTGCAAGGAGCTATCCTCTCCGAGCCTTGTCAATTTCAGCCTTTCAATGTGAGCATATTATGGTGGCCCTTTTAAGAACTAGAATAGCTTGGATTTGAATCACTTTCTAATGTCTCCCGTTCTAGACTAATCCTACTGGGAATTCTGCTCTCCTATGTTCCGCAGCATCATCGAATTATCTCTCGTCGATCTTCGTTCGGCATTTCCCCATATTTCGTGCTACTAGGCACTACTTCGGGCAATTCAGGATTTGCAAACATCCTTCTTCTCCCTCGAAGCGCTGAGGATATTGCGTGCTGCAAGGAGATCAGTGGATTTTCTTGTTTCGCAGGACTCCTAGGGATCTTACAGGTCGGCGCACAGGCGACATGCTTCGCTATCATGTAAGGGACTAAGAGCTTCTTTGGTCACAAACTGGATCTCTTTAGTGCGAATATAAAGCCACATATCATATGTTTCACCTGGACAGGACTAATCTAAACCATATCTTCTTAGCCTTGCGCTTTTCGTTATCTTTTTCTCTCGCCCCGATACCTCGCCGACTTCGAAACATGATGAAGCTCCATCTTTTCGTACGGCTCTCCTCGTAGCCGCCGCGTGTATCATCCATGCTGTTGCGCTTGTTATCTTGAGCTTTACAATAGGCCTTGCTTACCCATCTTCCCGCCAGCTCTGGGCCAACATCTTTGGTATCATGGCAACAATTTTGTCATCGATACAATATTTCCCTCAGATATATACTACCTTTATGTTGCGTCGGGTGGGAAGCTTGAGCATCCCAATGATGTGTATTCAGACCCCTGGAAGCCTTGTTTGGGCAGCTTCCCTTGCGACCCGCTTGGGAACAGAAGGGTGGAGTACATGGGGGGTATACGTGGTCACAGCGCTTTTGCAAGGGACGCTGCTGACAATGGGTATCTATTTCGAATACCTCAACCCCCAAAAGGTTGAGGACAATGTTCATCCGGAAGGTATCACCGCACCGCCACCGTATGAGAATCGCTCTGAACCCAGTTTCGAAGAAGATGCTTATGATCGAGTCTCTGAACAAACTCCATTGCTCCGAACACCATGAGATGTCAATTTTCTTGTTATGCTTGTATCTGTACATGGAGCGGCGGCGTTAAGAGACGATCTGAATTTGCATAGGACTAGAATATCAGAACAATTTTGGGTATCATTTTCTTAGGCTTCGATTCAATACAGCACATTGGCATGCAAATGCCCAATTCTCAATTTGCTATTCTTGAGGACCCTCCTATACGTTTGTATCCCACAAACGTTAACAACACTGAACTCCATTATTCCCCTTTGATATGCCCCTGGCCCTCCACTTCCGTATCCAGCGTCCCAACTTCCCCTTTATCAGAAACCTGGCTAATAGCCCTATCATACCGACGCTCGATGTCCTCATTGTGCCTTTTGACATCTTCCTCCTGTGAGTGCATCTTCTGGGCGTCGTCGGGGCTCAATTCATCTTTGGATGGCCTCTTGGGATGTTTGGCATCAATTCCGCTATGCTGATATGAGTCGGCAAGAGTAGGTCGAGCTTTGTTGGAGGGAATGCGCTCGTCGAATTCTTTGGCGAAAGAGTCGGCTTCTGTGCAATGTGGTTCACGTTCGGCTTTGGGGTGCGAATGCGATTCTAGACGCGCTCGTTAGATGGCTGGGTTTTCCCCAAAGAACATGTGAAGCACACTGGCTTCAACTGGGATATTTGCGCACCTTGTTTGTTTGATGTCTCGGAATGCGCGAATCTATTTGTATTCATGGATAACGTTGGCAACGGCCGGTGTCGGATTCTGAACGGAACACCGGCGCAAGCCCGCCTCACGGGTAACATCAGTTTTGGTCCTCGATTCATCGCGGCCCTCTCTAGCTAGGGTAGTCAATGTGACGCGAAGATGAAATAAGAGCTCTAGATGGCAACAAGTAATAAATGAAATTATTCGACAGTTTTGCGAGTCTCAGTCAGATCAAGTGTCCTTGGTTTATATTTCAAGTTGGCAGCTAAACAGTAGGGAGTTTTGAAGATCAATCATGGTCGAATCTCTCGCAACCAGATTGAGTATATGTTGATGTCATAAGTCCACCAAGGTCGCCACCCGCGAAAGTCAATGAGAGAGTTACCTTGTGTTGCTCCGTCTCCGGCTTCAGTGAACCAGGTACCTGCAACTGCTCTGCGCCCATTGGTGACGCGATACTTATCGACCTTAGCAGGAATAGCTGCAACACCTTGCCATACCTGGTGGCACAATGCCGACATTGCTCTTAGCTGCTTGCTTTGATGCACACACCTCACGAAAGACATGGCCCACTAGCATGCACGGCCAGAGGATCAAATCGAAAGTTAGTTGAATCGCCAGGGTTAATGAGATACTCCGTATAGAGGTTGTTGCCGCTAGATCTGATTGTATGGCCCTCCTAGCAGCAACACCTCGTTAGTTAACGCGGTAACTTTGACTTCACGGTGAAGACGACTTCTGGTCCGCAACTCCACACTGAAATAAGCTTATTTGGACGTTGCTAGCTTTGCTGACGGTTGTTTGTTGGCAAGACGAACGTAGAGCAGATGGCATAGTTATTGAATTGGTATGGATACGAGGCATTCCATATTGTCAGTGGATGGTGGAGATGGACCTAGCCACGGCATCAGATTTCTCTCTCCTGAAATGCCGTACTTTTCTGTCAACGATAGTATCGCCGTTCTCAGCCCACGCTAACAAAATGAACGAGGATAGCAAGCACTGCGGTTATCCATCCTCAGCTCGCTGAAAGATCAACTACGTGGCCAATCTCCAAGTAGTTAGTTATGTGGGACATGGGTTTCGCGCGCTTCAAGCGACGGCCAGAAAAAGGAAAACTGGCTTGCGCCCTAGCCATGCGATGAAAATGTATATGCCAACCCGTGGACCGAGTTGAGCGGTCGTTGCACAGAGAAGCTGCTTGGCCTGTTGCTCAGAGCGCGCAAACTGCATATTCGGGCTCGCTGTCCAAGCTCATTCGTTAACTCGTTACCCAAAATTCAGCCCGGCCTTGCAGCTTCGGGCAATGTGCATCACAGTTAAACAATGGATTCTGTTGTGCCAGGAAACCCTGCCGAAGCTAGTCCCTATTCGATATGAAAAGAATGCCTTTGTTCGTCGTTGAAGCCAACTATCTCAGCTTTAATATCGGCGCCAATTATAGCCCTGATCCCAGCTGGTTCGGATATCCCGATCGTCTCTCATTCTTGTAGTTTGACTATTACCAGACTTCCCGAACGGAACTTTGAACCTGGGCTTTATAGGAGATTTGGCGAACTGCGTAACAATGTCTGTCGCAGAGCAGAGACTAGAGGTCGACTCCGAAGTATACCGTCTCTTCACAGCTGTTTCCGCAGAAAACGTCTAACCAGGCCTTTTAGATCGATGATGCTGACGGATTTTACTACGATGATCAACTGTTAGCAGTCTTGCCCTCCCTTCGGCGGTTTATACCACACACTTGAGCCTAATTGCAATGCTTACACGTCTCCCTACGACCAGGTCCTCCTACACGGCTTCAGTAACTAAGAGCGTCACCAACTTCCCCGAAGAAAATGGCAGGCGTTATCATGCCTTTTGCGAAGGACGTAAGGCTCAATTCTCAAACGGCCTTCTGTTGGATGGACTCTTAGCTATTTTCAGGCTATCTCATCCCCAACGACGAAAGGGAGAACAACCGTCTCGACCATTTGCATAGGATGGTATACGAAATTCTTGATGGGAAGCTCTACTCTGCACCCATTGGAGACGCCCCATCCAGAGTGCTTGATCTTTGTACTGGAACAGGCCGCTGGGCCATAGACTTTGGTTTGCGGACAATCTGAGCGTTATGTACGAACGTCTTGCTAACATTTCAAGGCAGCCGATCTTTTCCCTTCGGCTGAGGTATTTTGCATTTCAATCGATTATGGTGATCCAGGACGAGTTACTAAATACAGATTCAGGTGCTTGGGAATGACCTTAGCCCAATTCAACCTTCATTGTAAGTCTACTCCAATGCTTCTCCCGTCCCATGTCTAACTCTGGGGCTCTAATGATTTGCTAGCGTCCCTCCGAACGTGAAGTTTATAGTCGACGATGTTGAAGCCGATTGGGTGTACGAAAATTCTCCATTCGATTTTATTCATGCTAGATCTGTTGAGCTGTCTATCAAAAACATGCCGAGACTTGTCAGCCAGGCTTATAGGTACCGCAACCCTAAGTGTTACCTCCTCTGAATTTCAATGCTCCACTAGGCTTATTAGGGTTTCTAACATGATAGCAGGGCTTTGAAACCTGGTGGCTGGTTTGAATGTCATGGCTGGGATACTAGGGTGCAGTCTTTCGATGGCTCCACAAACGGCACATCTTTGGACCAGTTTAATCAGATAGTGTTAGATGGTTTTGCCAAAGGAGGGTACTATACTCGTTTTGAGCCAGACAAGATGGAGCAATGGTATGCAGACGCCGGCTTTAACAAGTTCCATATCAGAAAATATTCTATTCCTCTAGGGACGTGGCCGAAGGACAAGGGATATGTACGAATCCTCAATTTTCCCGTCAAAGAAAGTCAAAAAGGTGCTAATTCTGAATACGCACAGAAAACCCTTGGTGCAAGCCACCTTCACCAAGCCGAAGAAGGCCTGGAAGGCATGGCCATGGCCGTACTGACTCGGCTTGGGCAATGGAAACCCGAAGAGGTCCGGATCATGGTCGCTAACGTGCGCATGGATTTCCGGAACCGGAGAATCCATCCCGTCTTCAATTTGTATGTCCCCATGATTCTTTTGTCTCTACCATGATTCATATTAATCTTGGACCTCTTGTCGCAGTTACGTCTGCTATGGTCAACGACCTGAATAGGCATTCTAAGCATGTACGACGAAATAACGAGAGAAGATATCTGTGGGATGTTCTTTAGCGGAAATGAAAGTGAATTTTTATATTTATTTCCTGTTTTGGTTTTTGTAGCTGAAGGGTATTCCTGTTCTGACGTCGTAACCATCCGTTGCATTGAGTATGGGCAAACTCGATGTAATTATAGTAAGACCATCACCCTGAACGTGTCCCTGTATGCCTTCAGCAAGCGACAAGTCAAGTGGGATGTTCATGCAGCTAGCAAGCTACCCCTCATCGCTTCTCAGATCCCAAATGCACAAAAAGACACCCATTTCTCTACATCAAATCCCATTCCATCACTCTCTATCTGTTAAAACAAACCTATTCATCTGCTAATCATGCCCGTCGCCACCTCCTTCCCGCTCAAAAACACCTCCATCCGCATCCCCTCTCGCGGCCTGGGAACCTTCCAGGTAGACCCCAGCGTCTACCCAGAAGGCTCCGTCAAGGCCTCCGTGCTCCATGCGTTGAAGCTAGGATATAAACACATCGACGCCGCCCTGGCGTATGGCTGGGGTGCAGTTGAGAGAGACATCGGAGCCGCGATTAGAGAAAGCGGCGTTCCCAGGGAGGAGCTCTTTGTGGTGACCAAATTGTAGGCGATGGGCTGCCAAAAAAAAAAAAATCAATTCCCCGCGAAATATATAAAATCTTTTTTGGGATGTGTATGGTGACTCTTTTTTGCTGGGGTGTTTGGCGTATCGATATAGGCACAATTGCTTCCATGCGCCCGAGGATGTCGAGGTTGGAATGGATATGAGTTTGAAGAATCTGGGGCTTGATTATGGTAAGGAGGCTGTTGATGATTGATGGGTCGTTCGATTACTGATGATATCTGAATAGTTGATCTATACCTCATGCACTGTTTGTTAACCTCCAGGACCCCTTCGATGGAGAAGAGCTAAAGGCCATAGTTCCATACGCGTACACTAAGGGGGAGAATTATTCCACCATGAGAAAGCCAGATGGAAAGGTAGGAGACCAACTAACAACGTCGTACAAGTGAGTTTAAGCTAACACTGGTAGCCCGTTGTTGATATTGAGCTTTCAAAAGCATTCGATGTAACCTGGAAAGCGATGGAGAAGTTAGTTGACCAGGGAAAAGCAAAATTGATAGGTGAGGACGTGGAAGTGGAAGTGGTTTGAACGGCAACGAAAAGTAGTCATGAGCTGAAGCCTATCCTAGGGGTATCGAACTTCTCGTCGCCCAAACTAAAGCGTCTCCTGAGCGTCTGCCGTATCCATCCGGTCGTCAATCAAGTTGAGCTTAACCCATACTTCCCCCAGAAGCAACTCCTACGGTTTTGCCAGGAGCATGACATTCACGTCACTGCATATGGGCCGTTGGGCTGCGCGCCTGTGCCCTACTTGATTGGAAGAAAAGGCCCCGGTCCGCTTGAAGACCCAACTGTGAGACATTTACCCTCCTGACTCCAATATTTTCCCGGTAAATGGGACTGACCGTCATGTCCACGGGTGTAGATTAAAGCCATGGCGGAAAAGTATTTTCGGACTCCCGCTCAAATCATCCTAGCTCACTTGATCATGCTAGGTGTATCCGTTATTCCAAAAAGTAACAGTATATCAAGGATATCAGAGAATCTCGATTGTCTCGTAGAGCTGAGTGATGAAGATCACGCGGTGCTTGGTCAGCTCATGGGTCCAAACGGGGAGAAAGCCATACGAAATCTAGAGACAAGAGAGTATCTCGGCTTCGATAACTTCAATGAAGAAGTCGAAGAACCCTGATTCAATTTGAACACATGAAGTTACACCTCATGTCAGCTTCTTTGATCCCTGTGGGCGCAAGTCAAAGGCTCATATATTCGTTGTCGCATAGATATCATTAGAATAGCGTGAAGAACAGGCGAAGAGAAAGGAAGAAGTTTTCAACATCGGAAGCGGAAGTTGCCGCATATACCCTGCCCGACATCGGCAACCCGTGATCACGCATGATCTAGGAGAAAAATCGACTCCAAAGCACCCAGAAAGGCGACGAAGCCCAAAGCCCAAAATGCAATACCACTAAATCCCACTTGTATTCCCCATTTAAAAAGCTGCCCGGAGATCAATGGCCCGATCGATCGGGCAAGACAACTGAACGAAGCAGCGGCGCCATTGATCCTCGCGAGGAAAGTCTTCGCCGGTGCGGTGTTTGTAATTATGCAGTGACGGTCAATCAACAGTGGCTACTAAAAAAGCACTATGATACCTGTATGCACTTACAGAATTGCGGAACACACATAACCTGTCGATGAGAGAAACACTTTAAGCCACAAGTCAAGCAATAATGCCGATATTGAAAAGGGCCATTTTAGCTGAGCATAGAATGGCGTGGCTATATATGAGATAGGGAAAATGCAGAGAACCCATCGGAAGGTTTTGAGCGCTCCAAACCGATCAATGATATAAGGTGTCAATGTTACCTGTGCAGCAATAGCTACTCCAGCTTGAGTCAAGAGAATGATTCCAATCTTCTGAGCATTAAGACCAAAACCGCCATGGGATCGTAATATGCTCCTGGAATGAAATCTTCCAGGAAATCCACTCTCCTCGGAGGGAAGGGAAAGAAACATGGGCATTATGATATCTGACGATACCTTGTGGAACGCCAGTAGGCAAACAGAAACCATTTGCAGTATAACCTGTGGCGTAAAAGCCGTGGTTACAGGTACAGCTGGACGTTCGAATTCATGACAGCTCGTACTCACTGGGTCTGGATGTGTTGGTTCTTGCTCGTGGTAGCCAACGGCTACAGGTCTTGCCTCGGTTTCCGTTCCAAAATCAAGGCTGCCATCACCAATTGCTCTCAATTGAATATAATTTGTACCCCGTAGATTCATTGCTTTTCTTCTCCAGATTTGCCTTAACACTTCGAACGCGCGAATCCCAACACCTGAGACTTCTGCTAACCGTGGGTGTGTTTCCCGAAGGAACAATATCCCTAGGATCACACTGCAAAACGAAAGCGTTGCAACAACTATGTTCGGAAGCAAGTATGGAAAAGTCTTCCAAACGGAGCCTTCGAGGAACAATCCGGGATATAATTTCACTGGATCAGCCAACCAGCCTCCCAATGGTGGGCCGAGTAAAGCTCTAGCGAAGCCTATAATTAAAGCCAGGCCATTATATCGAGGGTAACCAAGGCTTACCCAAGTCCGCGAAGAAACGGGACCATAGAAAAGGCTTTGGCTGCAGGGGAATTAGCTAGCAAATCGCAATTGCTATTCCGACAGGTTAGAGTGGGAAGTCGTGCATGGAAATACCTTGTTGCTTTCTTTCCCTAACTAATTCGCCGATACATGTTTGCACAACGCCCACATTGGGGTTGGCCAGCCCTCCTAGTGCCCGTGATAGCACCGCCGCAGTCATCGACCGCGACAGTCCAAACGACACAGTTGCGAATATACCGCAGAAAGTACCAATGACCAAAGTAGCTTTCCTTCCGATTCGATCACTGATCCTCGCCCATATTATCCCACTGATAAATTCACAAAATGTAAAGACGGTGATGAGTAAACCAGCGTAGACAGGTATACCGGCCTGTTTGACCTCCGCAAATGATTCAATCATAAAGTAGACGTATGGGAATATGCTTGTCCATGCGATGGCTTCCGTGGCTCGAAATACCCCTAAGGCATGCGACTTGAGATTCGATCTCGCTGAAGAGAATTTTTGCCAAAACATACCCAAGATAAACAATTGTAAGCGTAATCCCCGCACCGAATAATCTGCTGCAAGGGCTGAATCAGGCGCATCCTGTTGTTGAAGGCCTTCTGGACTCATGGTTGGGTCACCCTTTAAATTGTAGTTAAAGAAAACACGTTGTGTAGTTATCCCGACAATTGTAACATTATAGAGTGTAGCTCTCGTTAGAAAAGTAGCTTACTATAATTATTCTGCTCGTTCAGAATAACAAAGCCGTCAGGATAACGAGCTATGTTAGCCAATTGGTCGGGATCACCAGCATCGACGCCTCACTGACAATGTTGCGCTTATTGGCTGAATATAACTAGTGGTTAGTAAACGGCTGTGCAGAGGTGCAGGCACAGGAGCGGCACTTCCGTACAAACCAAATCAACTCGCTATTCTTGACTTTTATTTGAATTCTTAGGTAAAAGCCGTTTGGGTTCTGAAAGATATTCCATGATAATCACCTCTCCGTTCAGGGGTATCAGCAATGTCCCATGCGAACTTATAGTGAGCACTGTCAAATTAAACGCGGTGATCCAATCGTTCGGAATGTAAAAGAAGCGCTCGATGAATACACCATCGAGAGTCTGGTTGATTGTGCGAGTGCATATCCAATTGTCACGGTCGATAAATACGATTCTGTCATAGAAGAACCCAAGAAACCGCTTGACGACGCCCGTTGAATCCGTGAGAAGTCGGTGCGCAAAGGGCCCCTTTTCGGCGCTCCCGAGTCCTGACGTGTGTATAACACCGAAACTCGGCTTTTGCTTGTCTGAATTCATAATTTCTCGGGTCAATTCATCTGGCAATTCATAAACAATGTAAAGCTTATTAATGGACACGGTCAGCGACTGCAGACTCAGCTGATCTTCAGCCAAGCCATCTATAAACCACCGTGAAATGCGGCTTCTGCCCTTTGTAATATCAACTCCCTCCTGAAAGGAATATCTTTCAGTAAATGGAGTTGATTTCGTCACGAGATGCCGCAAGGTTGGCCATTCATGAATATGCAGACCAGCAGAATCGATCCGAAGAAGATGCTTCTTGTTGCTAGGATGCTGGACCCATTTTGTAACCGAGCGCGAACCTCGATTGACTCTATAACGTTCTTTCTTTGATTTGAGATCCCAGACTCGGTCATTGGTCTCCGTGCTCACGAGAAGATAATCCTCGTCGGGATCAAAGGTTAGCTGTTCAGCCATTTCTGTAATTCGAATGTTGAGAACTGTCTTCGTTACCCAGCTTCCATCCTCCTTGACCCCGAGTCGCTTTAATATGACTCTAGCACTGTCATCGACCGAAGCTAGAAGCGTGCGGGATGAGGACCACTCCAACATAACTATTTGCGTAGTTGATGCGTGGCTCCACAGCCGTTGGATCATTCTTCCGTTTTCAATCTCGTGAACAGAGACCATACCATTGTCTCTCCCGCAGCAAAAGAATTTATTGAAGCGATCGCAAGCAAGACACGTTATATGGGGGACTCGAGTCCTGGGAGATGTAATGTCAACAATGCCTCGGTTAAACCCGGATGGCATCAACTCTTTCACTGAATCTCGTTTCGAAAATTGAATAAGCTCGTTGGGGTACCAAACGAAGCAATTGGAGTCTCGGACACCGTAAATTCGTTGGTCATCGGGACTAAAAGCGAGGTCTCTCACAAATTCCTCCCTCTGCAATCTGTAGACGAGTTCAAAATCCGGCATCGCCCATACGTTCAAAGTCCCAAAACTATCACTAGTTAAAAGGAGAGTTCCGGCAGTGTTAAACACCATCTCACGCGCACCTGTGTTCCGATACAGAACATTGTAACACATCCCCAGGCCCCAGCGTACGATGGTTGTGTCAAGGTGAAGAATGTACAACTCCTCTAGGTCTGAGAATAATATTGCATCTGAGCCGGGCCGCCAGCGCAGAATTTCGGGAGCATCAATCTGTTCCTTGCTCTCTTGTCCGGGAACATGGAGAGAGCGTTGTCGATAAATTCCCTCTTGGGGGGCCCAGACGATGATAGTGCCGTCGTTGAATGCAGCTGCAATCTCTTTGGTTCTCACGTTCATTTCTATCGCTTTTAGGGAGGCATGATTCTTCACCTTTTTACCGGTTCTTAGAATATGATTAGACGTAACGCTCTTATCGCGGAAGTTGTATGTCAAGATTGCGCAATAATCGTATATAAAATAGACCGTTTCATCGCCTTCGAAACCGAGATCTACCACAGTTGCAAAAGGCTCCTTTGCAAAACACGAAACCTGAGCGCCAGTGAGAATGTCCCAAATACGAATCGTAACGTCTCCCGCTGACACCGCCAGAGCGCCTGTAGCGTCAACACTGACTAAATTGACCGGCTCATGATGGGAGAATCGTTGGAACTCGTCGAAAGTCTCCGCATGCCAGATGATTATCGTTCCCTTACGCGGCAAAAGCGTAAGAAAATACTCGCCAAAGCAAATAACTCTGGAAATGAATTCCTCTTCTTCAATGGTTAATTGTGCAAAGCTTTCATCGAATCTCTCTTGGATTCGCCCTTTAACAGTCAGCGAAATACTTCCCGGTTTGTTTGGACTATAGAGAGGGGAACCGCGCGGTAGTAGCGGCCGTAGGCGGGTGTCTATTATGAATGGGTGCCGGACGAGACTTGGTCCAAACTTGGCTACGAGTCTGCGCACATCGTGGATGCATCTTTCAAGGAAATGAAAGCCCTCTTCGGGAAACTCCTCCGCGGTTGAAGTCTTCCTTATCGGCACAACCAGGCGAGATTTATTGACATAATCTTCAAGGGATTTCATACCGTCTATCACAACTCGCAAGTTGGAAGAATATGCGGCAGCACCGATCCATGATAAAATAAACTTGCTGAAAAAGCGTTCAAGAAGACGTAAGAGTTTAGGCGAGTTTTTCTTGCAGTTACTGACGTGAAATACCCAATTGACCCAAGCATAATCGAGAAAATGATGCGATTTGCCGAGCGAAACTTGCTTTTCCTCTTTCTTGGCTCTGTTCCAAGAAGTAGTAAAGGGGGTATCCTGCCATTTATCATTGCAAAGGTAGCGGAGACAAATCGTAGCTTGATATTCATGAGCTACTTGGAAATCCAGAAATGGATGAGGTTCGTACGGGCGGGTGAGCAGATACTCGCGCACATTGCTATGAACAAGGCTTACGATTCCTTTCTCGATCCGGATAAAATGGCCGCAGACTTCCGTGACATTTTCTTTAACGGGTCCTCTCCCCTCAAGGTCATATTCAATCGCCTCTTCTAGTCGTGTGGCATTTTCTTTAACGGGTCCTCTCCCCTCAAGTTCATATTCAATCGCCTCTTCTAGTTCCACCAATTTCAATGGGCGAGCGGAAAGAGTTGCCCATGATAGAACTCGAATTGCTAAATCTTGGCAATCTTTCGGCATTGCTTTCAGACGCGCCAGCATAAAGTTGTATTTCGGCACCATGTCCCTGAAAATAGATTCCAGCATCATGTCAGTGAGTCCAACTTCGGGGGACTCGCGACCGAGCAGCAACTCAACAGCCAGCCCGGCCCAAAGGAAAGAGCCCTCCGCCCCTGTCACAATTTGCTCGGTTGCAGTGCTGAGAGGTATCATTTTCTGCACAAAAGTTCGGATGTTCTTTGCTGTCTCGGTTACCGAGATCCTATCGTTGATAACAGGGTTGCAACCACTTCGAAGGGGCGCGTTGACCCTGCTGAAAATCAAAACTTTGATTGTAACCTTACCCGGCTGCATCTTTGCGAACACATCAAGCAACGGTACTGATAATTCTTGCCCCTCGATACCGTCGATCACCCAGTATAGAGGTCCCTCAAATTCGATTGTGAAAAGGCGGCAGAACACAAAGTTCCAAAGATGTTCGAATGTTTCGCTTTTGAAATCGAGCCCCGTTTGATTATTCAACTGCATGATTGCCTCCTCAACTTTCGGGTGAGACAGCATGAGCTGGAGAAGGAGTGCACGCGCAAAGTATGCAGGATTGTTATTTTCTGGCTGAAATGCAGTGAAAAAATAGTACTGGCAGTTTTGCGCAGAGTATTTCTTCTGAAGATAATCAATGGCCATGCTTGCAAGGACAGATTTGCCCGAACCCGGCAGTCCAGTGATCCAAAGAATCTTGCATCTTTTTTCATCTTCAAGCCACTGGGTGAAACTTTCACGATCAAAAAACCAGTCACATAGCTCAGGCTCACCTTCATTAAGATTCACTCTAAAATGATCATCTGAAAAGTCTATGATCCCCAAAAGACGACTATGATTCACCTCCCCATCAATACCAAGACAAGAATCAGCAACTAACACGATGATAAAATTAGTTCCCATCGCCAACAAAAGGGACCAACCAGCTCACGTGTCAATTGTAATTGCTCTATCAACTTGCGCACCAATTCGAAAACCATCTTATAGTTGGCATCTTGACGATTGGGGAATTTGCAAATTGAGTGATGATCAGCGATCAACGGAGCTGAAAATTCGGTGGGATAGCCAAGAATCCCCGAGCCTTTACCTACAATCTATGCCAATTAGCAACCCCTAGGTGCGAAACCTGCAGTTTAACATACAATTCTCTTGATGCCGGCACCAAAGCTGACTGGAAGAGTTTCGTAGAGCGAAATGATATGTAAACCCTCACAAATTGTCCGGAAGTGGTCGTTGATGTCATCAAGGGTTTCGGAGCCCGTATCGAGTTGGGCCACGTAGGATTTTTGAGAGAATCCCAGCGCAAAGGAAAGGAGGCCATTCAGTGCACGGGCATGAATCGAGCCTCTGTGTGGTGTTGAAAGGAACATGATCGCATGGAATTTTGATATCATGCGAGAATAACGCCGGTCAGACTTACCTATAATGTAAGCCTGGCAGATGGTCAGCTACCTAACTTGCACACCCGACAAAAATGAGTTGGACTAGGACCTTTTTAACCACTAGGCCTCCCATTGAATGAGCAACAAAGATTATGGGTTTCTAGCAACCAAGTCAGAGAGAGAAGAGTTGAAGTAAATTGAATAGGTGTTCACGCAAGCTTACACATCCAATATGATTTTCGCCAAGAGCCGGAGCAGTATGCGTATCCATGCTGAGCAGAAGACTTTTAGCGAAGTCGAGGATGGTTAAATGCTTGTTAGGACCTAAAAAATCAGAGTTGTAGCCGAATGTAAATACTCTGGTATTGAAAAGTTGCTCCTCTTGTGGAAGCCATCCCGGCCAGAAGAAGTCCGGGTTGCGGTCCCACGACCATGTTTTCCACGGTGACCCCCCTAAGCCATGTACAAAAATGATATCAGCCACAAAATATTTAGGAGCGTGCACAACATGAAGACCAAGCTGCTGTATATCTGCGTTTTCCGTTTGAGCAGGCCGGGAGGTTAGTTTAGATAAGATTGCTGAATATGCATGTTGGCCGCCGGGCGAGGAAATCCGTCGTGTCGTGGTGGCAGAATCTGATGTAGCTTCACTTGTATCTTCTAATTTGTCTGCATCATCGGGACCACCAGATATATCAGTGTCCTCATTGTTTGCCGATGCTACAATGGCAGGTTTCCGCCCAACAAGCCTCCGAAGCTATGCGATTTACAAATGAGCATCATTTGAACTCTGATGGGGACAGGGTAAGTTTCACCATATTGGGGAGTTAAAAAAAATGGAAAATGAGCGCCTTTTCGAAATTGAATAGCTTTTAAGAACACATGTACATATTTCCAGTTCTCCAGAACTGAGTTGAATCGTCTCAACTTTCAAAGTGTGCATCTCGACAGTGTTGTTGATTGACGTGTGGTCTGAAGATTACCTAAGCTAGTAAAGTTCACTAAACCAACCGCTTATGGCTAGCTACATAATTAGTTAGTTAAGGTTAAAAAGATAGTTACAAAATGTACTCCGTACATGCGGACTTCGAAGTACGGAGTACTTCAGACATATTGACTTCTCCTTGCAAATTCCATAATTTATAAAGCCCTAGGCTACCAACAACCAAATTGTTCATCCTCCAGAGAGCTATTTCTTTCAACTAGCACAAGTACGACTCAAGCACTTGAGCAAGAGGTTAAAGCGACCTCCGATTTTTTTTGAATGAAAGCTGGACCTCATCCATCCTGCATGTCCAAAGTGGGGTTCCCTCTGAGAACTTCCAATATGCGTGACCTGGCTCTGTAATTGGATGCTACTGGGGTCAGGCTCAAAAGAATGCATTCGCTTTCCGATTTTACATGCCAATCAAAGCGAGACAACAAAGCAGCTGACAATGGATCAATACCACGCTTCGGCACCGAAAGGTGTCCGAGAAGATTCCTTAGGATCATAGCCTTGCTGAGGAGAAGATGACAACCTTCTCAAATTGATTGTGCTTTTCTCGCAGGCGTATAGCCCCTAGCGAACTCTCTCTCCCTAAGCCTCCGGCGATTCCCAATGACTGTCTAGAATCCATGATGGCAACTGTAGTTATCGAGGCTCCAAGGCTTCACAGCAATGTCCTCAAAGACAACTTTGGTCATGTCACCCTCGATGTATCAAGACACGGTGGTGACGAAGCTCCCGTCAGTTTAATCCCAGCACCTTTGCGGGGAGGCAATTTTGCACTGGACGAAGCTGTCATTGACGGTTCGTGTATTTTATTGCTCGACAATGGACTTTGCTCTGCGTTTCCAGAAATTTTCTAAGCCAGTTAATCATAGCGCTACCGATTCCGGGGACAAAGGTGATCTCCGCCAGAAAGTATGGGATGTCCTTGTGGGGTAAAACTGCACAGATTTGTACAAAACTGCCGGACGGGCGATTGGAGGAATACTTCCTGAAGGTGAAATCCTTTCTCCTCATTTAAAAAGTTCTGCGGAATTATTAATAACAACCAGACTGTGTCTCTCGGTAGTCATGGTCGTGTCATGATTGAAGGCGAATTCGAATCACTGAAAGCCATCCACTCCGTCACTCCAGGTTTCGTTCCATTTCCACATGCGTGGGGGAAGTATAAAAGCGGAGCGGAGGAAACATATTTCATGTTGGCAGAATTCCGAGAGGTCGGCGAACAACCTCCGAATCACATCAAATTCACAACTCGGCTTGCGGAACTACACAAGAAATCTAAATCTCCCACGGGGAAATTTGGATTTCATATAACTACGTGCCATGGAAAACTCCCACAGATAACAGATTGCTGGGAAGATTCTTGGGAGGCTTTGTACAAGAAGCAATTGGCACACATGATAAACTTCGACCGTGAGAAAAATGGCGAATGGCCTGAATTCGAGCTTTTGTGTAATCTTACTCTTGAACGGGTCATTCCCCGTTTACTGAGGCCTTTACAAACCAATGGCCGTAGTATAAAGCCTTGTCTCGTCCACGGTGATTTGTGGGATGAGAACACAGCCACTGATATGGATACAGGACGCCCATTTGTCTTCGACTCCTGCGCATTTTACGCTCATCATGAGTATGAAATTGGGAACTGGAGGGCGGCAAGGCATCGGCTGAGTGGTGATATTTACGTAAAAAATTATAGACGCAGGTTTCCCATATCAGAGCCCGGTAAGAAATGATAGTGACACAAAATTACACAGTGCTTGTTCTAATTCTTCAACTAGAGGACGAGTGGGATGACAGAAACCTCCTATACTCTTTACGGTATGACTTGGGAGCGGCAGTATTGATACCAGGCTGCAATCTACGCCGGATGTAAGTGAGGTGAATCTGCTGCCCCCGACAATTTACGGAGACAAATCTAAGCTCGGACAGAGTAAAAGACGGAATGACCAGCTTATGTGAAAAGTTCTGTCCCCAAGAGCTGAATGCCGGAAAATTGGCATTGCCGAAGCCTGACTTACTATTGGCTTATGTGGATGATGACCCTCGTTGGAAAGATGCCTCCGATGACGAATCATCTGACTTCCCTGAGATGGAATTCTCAGATTATGATACAGAGGATGAGGTTGGAGATGAAGTGAACGACGAAACAAAACTGAAAGCCATGGACACAGGTGTGAAACTGGCTGGCACTTCTGAGACTGTTTTCTTTGCCAAACACTTCATGCGAATCTGGGGGATACTTCAAAGCCTTGGCGTGACGGGCTACAGGCTCTGTTGGAGCTTGTTTTACGGCGTACTTTGGCTTCTCTCGCTGGTTTAGACAATATGCATGGTACGGACATCGACGAGCAGTACAGAGTACACTGGCACTTTTCAGGCTATCTCAAAGGAAAAGGGGTAGAAGTATAGGTTGCCCGACAGGCAGGAGACACGGATTACTTCAGTGTAGCAAGGGCGGCTTTGGCTCAGAGCCCTTGAAGAAGTTGGATAGAGAGCAGTCAATGGAGACTTTATTAATGAAATTATACAAGTCCCTGAAAAAGACTATTAGATCTGCCGCTTATTTCGGAGCTTCCGGGTCACTTTCTGCAACCAGCTTCCCCACCACCAGATACTTCTCCAGGAATCTTTCTTCCCAGCCTCTCAGGTTTTCGAGCTGCTCTTGATCCAAACCGTGCAAGTCATCCAGGGGCCCCTTCAGATCTTTGGTGAGCATATCCTCATCGAAGCTCTGACAAGCTAAGCCGCGAGTTGCATCTCGGCCAGCAAAGTTTTCGTACGGTCCGCCCTATAGAGCATTGTTTTAGAACGGATCTATAAACCCGGAGATAGGGCGGAAGAGGTCAATTACCGGTCCATAGAAATTTCTTCCTGGGCTAACATCGAAAACTTTTCCGCGAACAGCAAGGTATACGGGCTTATTGCCTTGGCCATTGAATTCTATTAATGTCGTAGGCGTGAATGTGCGAAACACAACCGGGGCGGGTTCTTTTGGCAGGCTAACAGGTGCCTTGGGTCGGAATTGCATATAAACCACCACGACGAAGAGGGAGAAAAGGACAAGGTTTATGGGAGAGGCAATGGATGCCCTGGGTATTGCAGTTAGCCAGTATGCTCAAGGAGTCATCTTCGATCTTGACATTGGGTGACGGGCTGACTTACACCTCTGCACCTTGGGAAACATTGCCAGCTTGAAACACACTGGTCAGCTCGGACGAATGCCACGAATTTGGACAGGGGTAAAGACGCACCGGAATCCATGCTGAACACACTCTGGAGGTGTTTCACTGCATTGAATGCCTGCTTGGAAATTGCCTCAGACGGGCTTCAAAGGAACAAGGACAGTCGCGATTATCTCTCGCACATAGCCGCCGCTGTGCTGACCTTCCAAATGCATGCTCATTGGCTTCCGAGGCTGATGCCAAGACATTATATCATCGAAGCTGCGTTAAGGGCGCCTTACCGTAAGCAAACTAGCGTACTGCTGAAACGGCGCTTTTGCCCAAACAGGACTAAGGTCGCCAACCCGCAGGCATGACATCGCAGGCGTTCCGAATCAAGAGAGTGTTACAGTTGGGAGTGGTCGACGGGCGACGAACCTCTCACCTCCTTGTCCTGCTGGCCGGTGAAGCATCTTCCCAAGCTTGCCATTCTTTACCCAGGTCTGTGACCTTTTGGATGCCGCTCCTTTCTTATTTTCTATTCACTCCTTTGTATAGCTACTTATTTTGTTTGGATTCTTGAGTGTGTTCAGGTCCACGCTGGAACCCTAGTCATTCATTTCTGTACTCTGTACCTCTATTGCTTGTTAGACTGTTTAAATGGGGCCATAACGACACACAGCCTCTACGAAATATAGGGTTATTCATCCTTCACTTTTCCCATTTCGTGATTGTTGTGCATGAGGCCTTGCATACGCTCCTTTTTCGAGGTATGATCCCTCATCCCGGCGCCCCTCAATCTCGGCCCCAACCGCATCATTGGCACAGACATGTGCGTGAATATTGCCATAAAGAACACATCTCCTGTTGGCTTTGAACTAACATTGCTGACTTGTGGACAGGGAATTCCAGATGTGGAAAGCCAGCCATCCCCCTACGCCTACAGGAATGGAAAGCTCCCGGTCAAGGGGCCCGAAATTCACAATCCAGAGTGATAGACAGCAGGGGATTGGGAGTCAACATATGCATGAAATGAACTACGATGGCAACTCTTATAGGCCGTCATTTTCGCAGCAGTGAGTAGATTGGTTCTCGAGTTCAATCTTACAATGGCAAAACCTGACCACTAATCAAGTAGTTCTATGCGCCCGCCGCCTGCGATTCGCGAGGAGCCACGCATAGCATCTTCAATTTATTCTAACCAAGATTTTGACCACGATCACCGATTCACCTCTCCTGCGGGCCATCTTGACCCCTCCTCGCAATACCGCGACAGCCAGTATACTGACGCCTCACCTCCCGTTTCTCCCGTGGCTGGCCAGTTTAGGCATTTCGATGCTAACGAGAGTCCGGATATATCCCCCATAGACGATAATTTCGAACCTGCACCTCGCCTCCCCACCAAACAGAGTAAGCTGCCTAGCACAGGTCCAGTCTCACATAGGATGGTCAAGGGATCGCAGTACTCGCCCAGCGACGAAAACAGCGTACATAACATTTCAAAAGGCAAGCCCGGGTTTTCACAGCCCAATCGTTCGCGTAAAACAAGGTGGGATGAACTCTCTGGTGAGCCGACGAACAGTGAACGTGGAAAGTTTGCGCAATCGTCTCCGAGAACGCCGCATCCGCTCTCAGAACCCAAGCCTTCGCAAAAGAGCCCTTTCGGATTTTTCACAAAGAACAAAGAAGCCCGACAAAACCGCAAACAGACGTCTAGTTCAGACAATCCAACGGTATTACCTCCAGCCCGCGCACCATGGAGAGGGCCAGCGGCAGATCCGCTATTCTCAATCCAATTTCAACCAAAAAGCCATCTGCAGACAAACCCTTTATCCCCCCGCCACGAAAGGATAGCCGCGCATCGCCCGCTCAGCCGTTGCATACTGCCACCAAGGCTCCGACGACTAGTTCAAATATACCAAACGACATGGGCTCGCCATTCAGAATTGACACTTTTGATTTCGCAACATCTCAGAGCGGTATCCGGGAGGGCGGTCGCCACTCCTCAGGGTCAAAGAGCGGGTATCATGAAAATACCCTTCCAGCATTGCCAGTCGCTTCGCCAGATCAGTCGCCACCGCTCCGTAGCGACGCCCGGATACAGGACGTTCCATTAGAACCGGATTATAGCAAGCTGAGAAGCCTAGATCTAGATCCGCAACCTGTCAGTCGGTTCAGTATGACAACTTTCGCGACTACCGAAGCAGGCTCCCCGCCTGGAACGTCACGACCCAGCGAGGAGAAAGATATCCCGGCTATCCCGAGCATTCCAGCAGATATCGTGATGAAAGCTACCAGAATCAGGGCACGGAAACCCACTCCATCTCAGCTATCAGCGTCTACTTCAAAAACATTGCCACGTAGCCCACCTGAAATGGAGGCTAGTAGCCGCATTGAAGGGATGGAAGCAAAACTTCGTGATCTTGCCAGGAGGCGAGGGAATATCAATACTATCATCAGTGAGCTGACCCAAGTCATACAGCCAAGCGCTATCGCATACGACTTAGCGACCCGATCGGAGGTCACCAAGACTGTGAAAAGTCTTAATATCGAACTGGATGATATTAGAAAGGAAGAACACGATCTCGGCCTCAAGCTACATCGAGCCTACAAGAAACGAGATGAAGCGGATGAATACAGTGAACCGTCTGGGTTATGGATCAGAAGAGTGACTAGCTGATGTGCCCTAGTTGACCTAGCTGGCAGTATAGTTTTCCTCTTTGCGGTTCAAGTTGCGATCGTTTTGTAACATGGTTAATCTGGATTCATACTCTTCCCTTTTTTTCAAATTTTCAGTTCTCAGGCCATTTTACTTCATCTTGGGTTGACTACCAACCGTTGAAGATACCCCTTACCGGAGAATTTTACATCAATGCTCGCTTTGGCCTCAAGAAATTCCAGGCAATCTTGTAAACTGTTTTATAAGAATCCGAGACTTTCATAACGTGTACATATCTTTCTCTCTATTACACGTATTTGGGAATTCAGTCTAGACCTCTCTCAAACAAAGAAGTCGTACATAGCGCTACCGATACTTCAACGCCATTTCCAAGTTCAAAGTACGCTGGAGGGGGTTACGACCGCAGATGCTAAGGGGGGAATACTCGCTCGCGAAGAGAGGAGGATCTTTCAACGTTCCTCTCGAGGACATAGCTCGTAATATCGTTATATCGTATACTCGATGGCTCACGCCAAGGGAGCCGCAAGCACTCTATTTCTTGCCGGACTTCTTGATTCCCTGCTGGCCGGTGTTCATAGGGCCCTTGCCCTTTGCCTTGTCTGCCATTTCCTTTTTGGCTTTGGCGTCTGGATGGAAGAAAGCAGGTCGTTAGCATTTTACAGCTTTGCAAGGCCGGGTGGGAACGCTATAGGAAATAAAACGGCATACCTGCTTTCTGCTTCTCTCTGAAGGCAAGCTCGTCGTCGTCGAGCTCCTTTTTTTCTTTCTTGGGAGCCTTGAGGGGCTTGACTTTGCCGCCTGTGGTGGGGTGAAGAGATCAGTCGAAAAACCCAAGCGTGGGAGGAGAGATGATTTGCATACCTTCGCGAGATTGACCACCCATGGTTGGAAATCAACGAAACTCCCTTGCTTACTGTTGAAAATCGAAAACGGTCGACTCTTCAGCCTTGGGTCTGTGACTGACCGCTTTGCCCCTCGATGGGGGGAAAATCGTGATGGATAGAAAGGGTGCGGGTGCTAAACCGTATGCGGCTAGTTGGTTGGCTGGTTGGCTGCTGCAGTCAACATCAACCGGTCCACGATTTGGCGCCCAACAACTCAGAACTTGGCGTGACAACTTGTGATTGAATCTCATTTGATCCAAAGCTGGAAATACTTCTCAAACTGCAACAGCTTTGTTTCTCAGTTAGATGCTGTCGAGCGTTAGCGAGTGGGGAAGGGCATCACTAGCCGGGTTGGACATTTCACCATCACCCAAACTGTCATTTCCGTGCTTGAAGAGGGAATTCTTTTGCTAATTGAATCGTCAAAATCTCAAGTTTCCTCCTCGCTACATCTGATCCGGCTCATCTCGTCTTACCCGGATCCTTGCGACAAGACGGTGATCCGATGGCATCGAGGCGGTCGAGGTCCCCGTCGACCCCTTCAGAGGGTGAGATCATCGAATCAGGTTCAGAAACGAAGGCAACTACGTCGCAGACTTCTCTTAATGACATAAACGTTGACCGTAACCCCAGAAACGAAGCACGCTCTCCGAAATCCCCTGGTTCCGTGGGCAGATCCAGTCGCCGCGATAGATCGAGATCGCGTTCGCCGTACCGCGCCTCAAGGGGCGAAAAGCGTAGACGGGATGATCATGATTACGAGAGAGGCAGTCGACGAGCGCTGAATCCGAGACATGATGATAGGTACTATAGCAGGAACGAGTCGCGCCGACAACGCCAACCGTACTATGATCATGACCGAAGTGAGACCTACAACAGATATCGACTTTCGTACAATGACGACTATGATAGACGTGCTGAAAAGCGCCCTCGGACTCGGAGTCGGTCTCCGTATCGTGAATCGCGCAAGCAAAAGCGATATTCGGATGAGGAAGCGAAGGACGAAAGGCCCTCTGCTGGATCAGCAGGCGGCCGGTTACGGCATGAGGGAAGAAGGTTGTCTACAGAACAGTCAGTGAGCGAACGGAGAAATCCCTCTGTTGACGCTCAAAAGTCGAGACAAGAAACTGAATTTCGAGGAACCCAGATGCAGCAGGCTTTCGCTACTGAATCGAGTGTCTCAAATGAGTGAGTGCCCCTTATTTTTCCTCCATGTCTTCCCTCTCTGACCATGAATCAGCCCTGCGCCGCGCAGTGATGTTACTACCGAAGACGAGGTACCATCTGAGCCCGTTGACGAGGCTGCCCTAATTGAACGGCGACGCAAACGTCGTGAAGCTATCAAAGCTAAGTACCGTGGCCAGGCAACGCCTCTTCTTGTCCAAGCGCTTCAAATTGGGACTGAGACAGGGTCTACTGCATCCAATGCCTCCGAAAGCGCATCCAAAGCGGATTCTTCAGGTAAAAACAACCCAATAGTTATTTTGCAAATTCTTCAAAGCTAACGCTTCTTGTTTTATAGCCCGCCAAGGTTCGCCTGCAAATACTCCGGATGAAACATCTGCTGCTCAATCTCCTACAGATCTCCATGTTTCTCGAGATGAGGATCTTGCCAACACTGATTTGCAAAATAGAAGTGGAATAGAAAAAGAAGAAGCTTCTGCGGCTGATTATGACCCGACAGCGGATATGAGGCAGGAAAAGATGAGACATGATAAACGCCAGTTCAACGAGGATATGTCCGCCAGTGCGTACGATGAAACCAAGGTAACGAAGCAAGAAGTCCTTGTTCCGGAACCGACAGCGGAGCAGCCGAATCATATGAAGGCGAAGGATCCGTTCGATATGTTTGCTGAGGATGACGATATGTTTGCGGAGGAGCCACCTACTACAATGACACAGAACGAGCAATCGCAGGTTCCCATTTTACCAAGCGTAGCTCAACCTCAAGAACTTGACATGAGCATGATGGACAACTGGGACGACCCTGAAGGCTACTATAATGTTATGCTGGGTGAGTTGATCAACGGGCGATACCATGTCCAACAGAATTTGGGCAAGGGGATGTTTTCTTCAGTCGTTCGGGCCATGGATTCAAAGACTGGAAAGCTAGTTGCGGTGAAGATCATTCGTAATAATGATACTATGCGCAAGGCAGGCTTCAAAGAGATTGAAATCTTGCAGCAGCTCCGGGCTGCTGATCCGGAGGATAGGAAGCACATTATCAAGTTTGAACGGCAATTTGAACACAAAGCTCACCTCTGTATGGTGTTTGAGAACCTCAGCATGAATCTTCGGGAAGTCTTGAAAAAGTTTGGCCGAGATGTGGGTATCAATTTGCGGGCCATCCGAGCCTACGCCCAGCAAATGTTTCTCGGGCTAAGCCTTCTTCGAAAATGCAATATCCTTCACGCGGATCTGAAGCCAGATAACCTCCTCGTGAATGAAAACCGAAATCTCCTCAAACTGTGTGACCTTGGTTCTGCTTCTCCGGTCACTGAAAATGAGATCACTCCTTACCTTGTCAGTCGCTTCTACCGTGCTCCTGAGATTATTCTTGGAATTCCTTACGACTATGCGATAGATGTCTGGTCGATTGGGTGTACGCTCTTTGAGCTGTACTCAGGAAAAATCCTCTTTACAGGTCGCACGAATAACCAGATGCTACGCTCCATGATGGAGTGCCGTGGCAAATTCCCGCCAAAGTTCTTGCGTCGCGGGTCACTTACCCACTTGCATTTTGATGACCTTCTTAATTTTCACAGCCTTGAGGAAGATAAGATTACTGGACGGATGGTGACAAAGATCTTAGATTTCAAGAAGCCTACCCGTGATCTGAAATCACGGCTGATGGGCAAGGGGGCGAGACTCAGCGATGCAGAAACGAAGGAGATCAACTTGTTTATCGATCTGCTGGATCGCTGCTTGAGCCTGAATCCTGAGAAGAGATGCACGCCCTCGGAAGCCTTGAGACACCCTTTCATTGCGAGAACTAAGACATGAGGTGGCTGGTCGGCGTATGTGAAGTGCCCGGGTGGGGAGGGGGGCGGATTCAAAGGAGTACAAGCAATCAAAACTTGGGCTGCCATTTGGACATTCAGAATCTTTCTTTTTTTTTTTTTTTCTTGTTCGTTGCATCGAGAAGTTACTCCAAATTTCAATACAAATTCGGTTGTCAGCATCTCATCTCCCATAATTCATCCCCATATAGCGAGCTACAAGTGCATGCACATGATCCTTTGCCTTTTGCAGCACAGAAATGCAGGGACTTGATGGCGTTGAATGGACCATTTGCAGAAAACAGTTGCCCTTACTCCGTATGTAGTATGACGAGCCGATTATTCCGCCTTGCGCAAGGATGCACAGGGTGTAAATGGGTTGAACAAAGCCTGTGCTCTTGTGTTGTGTTTTTGTGGGCATCTTGAAAACCGGCTGTGAAATGCAATTGCTCTGGGAGAGAGATAATAGAGCGCAAAAAAGCAAGTTAACATGGCATCACACGATTATCTTGATAATGATCACAGGCAAGTTTCCGGGGGGAAAGCAATATCTGCCTGTTTTCACTGGCGTGTGCAACAACAACCAACAAAAGGCTGCCTGATGTCTATGCACATATAGAGCGAGATGGAGGTAGAGATTGGGTAGGGATTTCAGGTATCAATGTCCCATCATTAATGAATGCGGAAAATGGTTACCCATAAGATTTGGGACTATCACTGCACGGCTTGCATAAAGGGCAACACGGAAAAAGAGACCTGGACTCGAGACCCTGCATAACTAAACTGCTTCTTGCTGACATTTCAAGCCAGCAGTGCCGACAATCAGCTGGGAGGACCCATTTCTGCACGACGAGGGCCCAGAGTTACACAGCTTTTCGTCAAAGACCTTTTCCACTCCTGCCTAACAGTAACGACTGGATGGGACGTGATAGTGCTGTCCATCAATTTCTACTATTGTTTCTTGATCATTTCTAAAGGGGCCGGATTTAGTGTTCTTCAACGGCGAGTTGATTTCCTGCCGTGCGCTCATCCCGTCCGCTTACGAATTGGTCGAAAGAGGTTATTTCTGGGATATTCCTCCGTTCTATTATCTGCGTTCTTTATTATGCGTCAATAATTTATACGGGAAGATGGCACACAATTGCCCAAGTACCGGTACAAGAAACGCCTCCCTGGAAGCTTCACGACAGAGTTTCTCATCGTCACCAGCTTTGATAGGGTTATCCGTGCTCCAGTGGTACCCATTTTGGCGTTTTTCTTTGTTTGAACAAAATGGCTAGAGGTCCATGATCGACTCCCAATGCGATGGTCTGGTGCCGTTCCCTGCCGTTTCCCACTCCTTTCCTCCGGGTCAAAGGAGCAAACGGGATTACATTCTGGGGTTGTTGGGACTCTCTGTCGCCATCCTCGCCAGAACAAGGGAGATAACCAGGTAGCGAACTGCCAGATTCCCAGACCTGAACAACGCCCCCTATTGAAGTTTGTCGCCAGTGCCGCGCAGCTATGCGGGAGAGACTTTTAGGGCTTCGCATGTGAATGTGGTGGCTCATTGATATCAAAGCCATCACAGTCGGAGGCGAAGCGGCCGCTTTTGGCTAGCTCAATCCCCCGATGTTGGTCTTCCCGTAACCAGGCGGAAGGACACCCAGGAAGCTGGAGAATGGAATCAGAGCATTGATCCTATACTCAAAAGTTCGGGACTCGGCAGCTGCGTGCTATCGACAGCCCGCGGAATTGGGTTTGCTCCGTTGGACGCTCTTTAGGTAGGGTAGCCGATTGATTCTGCAAAGCAAAAAAGAAAAGCCAGCAGCCAAATCTGGAGTTCTGGAGCAAAGTTTACCTGGTCCATATCTCGATAACAGCTGAAAGCCCATACTTTGGACATCTACTGAAAAAGCTCGAATCGGGTCTCTTACCTTTCTGCCATATGTGCATGTTGAACGACGCCTGTGTTTTGCCATTGAGCGGGATAATGCGCGTAGCGAAAGCCCAAATTTAGGGCTTTGTACCGGAATCCGTCCAACGTGATTCAATTGCGATCCAGCAGGTGTTGGGAGACAAGGACGAGAAAACACGCTGTTCATTCGAGTACTCCGTATGCTTGTTTCTCCCAGTTCAAGCACACAAGAGTTGGCAGGGGTGAGCCGACAGTACGAAAGAAACGCAACCTCCTGATGTCAGACGGGGAAATCGATTCAGCTGAGAAAACATGATTTTCGCGGGCAGGTTCCTCTGATCGTCGAAAAACTCGTCGTTGGAGGAATATGTCCTGTGGACTTGACATCAATATCACCTTCCCGTCCGTGTTTCAAGATTTGACGAGGGAGTTCGCGTTTTCGTTTCAATCAGCCCGTTTTCCCCCATGGGGCCATATGCACACCCATTCGAATTCGTATTCTGACCACTTTTTCCTTCTGATTGCGCACAGGATGAACAAGTGAGGGGCCGTTCTGGAACATCTCTCAAACCATGCTTCCAATATCCCTGTGCACGATACGGGACGTTTGATTGATGATCCACTTGGGCGGCTTGCTCGGATGGACAACGATCTCCACGCTTCGGCAATAATGTACCCTGGAGTCGCGCGGAATGAACGAATCTGTTTGTTCAGTTACAAAGTATGGAAAATTAACATTTCCAAGAGGTGATCGAGTCTTGTTACAGAGAGCAGCCCTGCGAGTGGTGGTGCAGCTGGCTGCTCCAAGAAACGTGGATCTGTTTCTGTGGCATGGAAGATGACCAATTATAGTTGAAAACAAGTGCTGTGTTCCTCTGTCTCTTGCTGGGAAAGGGCGCGAGATCTGATCTACAACCATTGTTTGGTTCTCCGTTGAAACGATATCATTTGTAGAGTTTGGTATCAGCCTGGATGAACGGGGAGGAGTGACATTTTTCAACCAAGGACCCCCAATCTAATGAGTAGCATTGATGATTCTGAGGAATTTTGGGCCTTGGCTGAATATCTCCTTTGTGACGATCGCATTTGCGAATCCTCTTAGCGGTGAGAACTTAGAAGCCAGAAATACGGAGCATTGATAATCGCTTTCATAATTTCTCCGATATACCCATAGCTCTATGGCGGAGAATAAGGAAATGGATGGAGTGCTACTCCTTCTTCCGGCCCTCACAGATTAAATTGGAGATGATCGAGGATCAACCAGCTGTTGTCCAATGCCCTCCATCCTCCCCGTAGTGGCCTTGTAGTTAGCGAAGAGCCTTGGTGGCAAGAATTTCCAAGTATCATGAACACATTCATGCCACCAGAGCTCAATTTCAAATTCCCATGAGGAACGATTCGGGAAGAAGGCTCCGAGAGGCCAGCCCCCAGAAAGCCTTCCACACATGTCACTTTGCTTTTGCCTTTTGATCTGCTGATATTGCACAGCAACGGTGCGGCCAGGGAGGAAAATGTCGCAAGTGAACGAATCACGGCCAGCGGGTTTCATTCGCGTCCTGCCAGATTCGACAAACCGCATATGCACATATATGGATGGATGGATGATAGCGACATGCCCATTCACAGACATCCAGAGGGCGTTGGAAACCCAGCTGACGAGGATATTGGTCAAGGGCAAAAAGAAAGAGCCGACCTCTGATCGCCAGCTTGGGCGCTGACTCCATGAACTGTACTCCGTACTCTGGAACCGTCGATATCAGGCCAGGATGATCATCAGCGATCAGGCGTTGAAGCCTTGAAGGTGCAAGCGCCCTGCGCTCTTCACGTGAGACACCTTTGATGACACAGAAAAGAGTTCAACCTCCAATCTCATCTCACGCCTTGACCCTGGACCTGGACCACGGCGCGAGCAAAAGTTCTGGAAAAAGGGCTGGGTGGAGCGAAGCTGCATTCGGTGGTGAGCCCTGGCCCCTCCCTGGTCAACAACTCGCCCCTGTGATGCCAACACATTTTCTCTCTCCGTCGTCGAACCGTGTGCGGTGGAGATGCCCACAAGCCATGCACGTCGACCAGGCAGTCATCCTCACTTGCACCCTGCGAGGTTTAGCGCCGGGGCATCCCTGGGGTGTGATTTGCCAGCAAGCCAGCCACAATGCCAGCCTCTCGATCGCCTTGACGCTCTGGGCTTCATCCTGTCATGACGTGGGAGCTGGAGAGCAAGAGATCACGACAGGCGGCAACAAAGGCGAGCCAGCTCCATCATGCAGTGTTCACTAGTCGCCAGTGTGGTCTGAGCTTCTCCTGCATTCACCCTCACCAATAGCAAACCGGCATTAGTGCCTCCAAAGAGGTCCAACGAAGAACACGATGAGATCTTCCCCATGTTGACAAGCATCCTCTGGGCTCTCTGAGGTCTTGCGCAAATTTGCGACCCTCGACAGGCTGGTTCTCACTCCTGTTTCTGACTATTGATTGATGCGTCTGGATTGCTAATTATTGAGCGCATCTGCATAGACACAATGCAACTGAATAATTAATAATGTGTTACACAGCCGGAAGCCTCTGGATGGCGGCATTCAAGTTGCCAATGTGGCTGATTTCAGACATTTACATCTGTGCATCCACAAGACTGTTCGAAGAGCCATGTACTCCTGTGGCTGGTTTGTTCAATTTGTCTGGGACGCCGGAGTTTGTCCCATGGTTCAACCTGGGTAATATTGGCGATGTTCTTCAGGCTCTGGGACTTGACTCTGTAACGAAAGTGACGAGGCCCCGTCACTTCAATTGGAAGGACGCTGGTACCCGAGGCGTCGAGCTTTCCAAAGATTGAGATGGCCAATGGGATGGTGGCTTTGACGGGTCATTCTTCTTCAGTCTACGAAGTACGGAGTACAAAGTACTCATCATTATTCTGGAAATTGTGAACTCAAACAAAGCACACAACCCACAGTCTCCAGAGAATGTGTTCGCCACAATCATACACATCCAATTTTCTGACGCCATTCTTATTCAGCACCGACTTCGTGCGTCCAGCCCCCCAGAAATAGCCCAGGAGGACTGTGCGGAGACTGGCTTAGTGCCGAAATGATGACACGAGCCCACGCAAAAATGGCCGCGTGTGAAGATCGCGATCCTCCAGTGAGATTCAGCCCGAGAATGGGACCAGGGTGACGTGCATAACGAGGCAGTGTGATGAGAAGTACGCTTGCACTTGCACCTTTTCCGGCTTGTCACTCGACTAAAACTGCGGATTCTCACGGCACGCCCAGTCACAAAATGAGATGGTTCCAGCTGCCTTGGGGATACGACAACGACAGCGTCTCGCTAGCTTCATGCAAGGTCTAGCCACGACACCAAAAACACTCGAGCAGTAACATCGTGGGAACTTGGAGGCGGTTAGAGAATCCACTCGAACATCCCCTGTGGATGCATCGGGTGGAGTGACCAACTCTTAGCATGACTTTCTCCTGAATTCGCTCATGGCCAAAACACCATGGTCGAAAGTTAATTTTTTTGCCTCCAATCGAAAAATGATCAGGAGATGATGACACTTTCGATCCCTTTTTGGGTTTGATCATGTAAATTTTTCCTGTTGTATCCCCGCCTCTCTGGATCCGTCCAACACCCGACAAACAGGGACAAGGAGGTGGCCCGAGGGCTGTTCCAAGACAGGATTTTCCATGACACTGAGGAAAATTCTCCATGAACTATGCTAAGAATACTCAGCGCCACCGCTGCGACTTCTCCTTCTCATCCAATCACTGGCATCCAGCTTGGTCTTCCCTCACAGTGATCAGCCTGCTTGCTTCTTCAAACGCAAACGTCTTTCTCGAATGAGGAACCTTTTCCGCCGAGATTCTAAACTTTGAGCGTTTTGCACACATCGCGTGCTAGCTTGAACGATGGCATCGAGGCTTTTGATTTGCCGCATTACAAGTTATCCCTCTCCGGCACCCGGAGATGGCGAGATTCCCGCACTCTGGATGCTCATGGAATCTAAACGAGCTCTTGGGATTTTCCCGAATTATTCTTTGGGACGGGAAAGCCAAGTCCATCATACTTGTAGTCGTGAGAGAAGATGAACCGAGATGATGGGCTGAAGGCCGCCATCGTATTCATGGAGTGGCTAGCTTAGCGCTGGCAAGAGGCCAACAAAGACAGGTTGCACAGTACGGTTGAAGGCAAAAGCCTTTCTGGAGTCACAGACTGAGGACGAGGGGCGGCGATGATTTGATTGTTGGTCATGCTGACTTCCCGTCACTCCTGCAATACTTCGACCAAAAATAATAGCGTCAACAAGACGCTGATAACAATAACCATCGAGAATTATGATTGAAGCGGGTCCCACAGGGTATGGAGTCAATCATCGAACGCTGCATCTCTTCAATGCGCCATCCCGACATTTGTTTGACCCACGCCCCAGGTAGTGAACTCTCCAAGGAGGGTCGCTAAGAATGAATGTCTTCCGTCCGGACCAGGTTTGGGTCTGTATCTTGAGGTGATTCGCTACAAAGGAAAGCCCTGCATAACAAGGCCAGCGATCCAGTCAGAAATGTTTCTTTTTTGGAGACTTTTCTTTCGGAGCAAGGCGATTCCACCTTGACTCGTTGCTTGACTCTTGGGCGATGACCACTCATTATTCTTATTATTATTACAGCTTGAGCAAGGGTTCCATGGGCCCGCTCCAGTCTTATGATTTGTGGCCTGGTTCCGCCTCGCTGCTAGGGTTTCTCAATCAAGAGAGCATGGGCGACGAGCCACAAGTCTTCATATTGTTGAGAACTTGCATCTCAAATCTTCGACTCCTTTCTTAACTTTCTTCCTAAAGGCTCCGTGACCTGGTACTCATTTTTCGGGCTAAACCGCTTGCGGGTCTTGTCGGCTTTCTGCTCCTTCGCATCGCCGTTCTCCGTACCCAGAAAGCTAACGAGCTGTGTACCAAGTTGCCTCCGCCTCCCTTTTTTAGCTCCATCTCCCAGTAACGCACGGCGGTGTGGTGGCCGACGCCGTCAGCCAGTCATTATACGACAACTTTGTTATTACTGTCGTTTTATATCTCCAGTCCCCCTGCCTCATTGCTGATCTATATTTCGATTTGAGGTCTCTCTTGTCCTTCCTCAGGTCAATATCCTCAATATCCGATATCAAACTACTTCACAACCCTTATCCTCCCTTCCGCTTTATATATTGACTCTTCTAATAACCCTTTATATTTTTTGTTCTCTTCTCTCCCTTGTGTCGTCCCATTCCATACGGGGTACAAGCCGACCTTTCTATCAGCTGGACTTCCTCTTTGAGGCATACCGTTCCTTCATAGAACATTCTCGACAGCGAAGCCGCTCTAATACTTCCCATGTCTTTATTCTGAGGATCAGGATCCTTCCCTATTTAATTTTGGAATTGCGGAGGTTACCAACTTCCCTTTTTACGGAGTACCTACCTGGCCACATTTCAAAGAGACATACATATCAAGCTGCTCTCCTTCTCTCTTATCCCGACAAAAGCCATTTGATACTCCTGGCAACTACTCTACCGTCTACTCATCCACGCAACCTCTTCCTGACTGGTCTTGGCCAACTGATCATGCTTCCAACGCCACCGCAATCACCACCTCCAGTCTCCTTCTGCGATGCGCCAGAGGACAGATTGGGTCTGCTGCTTGCGAATCGGTTAGAGCTCACCGCCATCCTTGGGGTAGGTGCCTATGGCGTTGTCTATTCCGCCATTGACATCCAAACCCATGTGTCCTATGCCGTCAAGGCCCTCAACAAGTCTGGCCTGGATCCCAGACAGCGCAAGTTTCAACAGCGGGAAATCAAACTGCACCACATGGCGAGCCATCACCCCAATGTGGTATCTCTAGTCCGCATCTTGGATTCGCATGACTGCACTTTTGTTGTTCTTGAGTTTTGCCCCGAGGGTGACCTGTTCTCCAACATCACCGAGCGGAACCAATTTGTGGGAAATGATTTTCTAGCCAAGCGGGCGTTCCTTCAAATTCTGGATGCCGTGGACTTTTGCCACTCCATAGGTATCTATCATCGGGATCTGAAGCCAGAGAATATTCTCGTATCCGATCATGGAATGACTGTCAAGCTTGCAGACTTTGGTCTCGCAACAACCGATTCTTATACGTCTGATTTCGGCTGTGGATCCACGTTTTACATGTCGCCAGGTTAGTCTTTGTTCTTGAGCGACGCTCAGTCGTGATTCGTGCTAACATGAACTTTAGAATGTCAACAATCTAATTCGACGCCATATGCATCTGCCCCAAACGATGTATGGAGCCTTGGTGTCATACTTGTCAATCTCTGCTGTGGCCGCAATCCCTGGAAAAAGGCTTCTCCCGAGGATTCCACTTTTAATGCCTACTTGAAGGACCGTGAATTTCTCAGAACAATCTTGCCACTGTCACCCGAATTGAACTCGATTTTGAAGCGTATCTTTGACTGTGATCCTCTGAGCAGAATCAGTCTGCCGGAACTCCGCAAGGTGGTCCTGGAATGCCCAAGATTTACTGTCCGTTCTGGTTGCAACATGCCTATTACGCCAACATCCTCTTGTTCCAGCTATGATTATGCCAAGGCACCGTTTGGCTATATCCCATTCAATCCTTATCCACCATCTCCCGCAGAACCGATTGAAGCCGAATATTCGAGCTCTGCAGTTTCGGATACCTCTTTGACCGATGACGACTCCTCCGTCTCCTCATCCTCGTCTTCGGAATACGCCCCTCCCAACTCGCTGAACCAGTTCAAATTCGTCCCGGCTACCATCCCACCCAATTACTGGGGCTCGTTCATTCCTATTATTGGGGACAAGCCCGCAGTCCGCCAATGCCACCTTGAACCGCTGGTGGCTGTGTGCTGAATGCACTACGCTATTGGGCCCCAGTCCTTTAGGGGGAAGGCGAACAACAAAAATCGATCCTCCTCGCTCTTCCCGTTGACATGGTGGTCATTATCCCAACTTATTCCTGGAACTCGCATGACCTTGATAACGAATCTCTTTGCTTTGTTTTGAATCCTACCATGGATCGGAGTTGGAACGGCCTCCGTCTAAATACGTCTTCTAAAAGGGGAATCGACATTATCCATTCCTCCCACGATACCTTCTAAGCCTTGCTTGATACTTGCGATTTTTTCCAGCGAATTGTTTTCCCCGCTGTTGTTCGATATTGCGTTGTAATACCTCTTTGTTTTGGGAGGCAGACTTATGATCGTGTTTTCCAGAGTGTTTCACTGGATGATTTGTTTGGCGTTGGTAAATTGGGTGGACTGATTGATGAAGTCAAGATGCATAACGGAGTTGTTTTTTCTGGGGTTTCGTTTTCCAATTAATTTGATCTCCGCAACTACTAGAAGGACACGGGCGCATTTGCTGCTTTTTTTGGCCTTTTTCTCAGATATCCATTTTGTTGGTACCAAAGCTACCATTTTCGATTCTGCTTCTGTCGTTATAACACTGATACCCAAAATGTTAGCTATTCAGTTCAACTACCCACTATATCTTTTACTGACACCTTGTTTGGCCCTTTTGCGCCTTCAGGCTACTTGTATTCTACATGTACATAGCTATATCAAGCCATTGACAGCATCTTACCTTTCCTAGTCGAAAGTCCTTATGTGAGAACGGAGCATTGCGCTGCCACTCCGGTGGCATGAGGTTAGATTTGCCCCATTCGCCATCGGTGCCGGTTAGTTCCTTACCAAGCTGCACCGGTCAGATGGGCCCTTTTTCAACCTTCATCTCTCGGAGACACGACGGACAACGACCCTTGATTCAGAAGCAGTTGGCTCAAACGTCTTTTTCCGCCCCCGAAAGCCCAAGCGCCCGGGAAAGGCAAAATCCAACACGTTCCCGCCACCCCTGGCTTCTTTGACCACGTTTTTGCTTCCAGTGTACTTTTTTTCTGTTCTCAGGCCCACCCCAGCCAGATCGCTTTGTTAGTTGGGACCCTGGCTCTTGGAGAGCAGTGAGAACGTCGCGACGATAGGGCACGGGGTTAATGGTGCATTGCGTGATCAACCTGATACGGCGGGACGGAAGCGTATATTGCTTGCGTTGGATGATCTGGGAGGCACGGCTTGGTTTGGGAGTGGTGGTATTATCGTTGTTCGTATCTTCCGCGGGAAAAAAAAAAAGCGGACTCGACGACTAGACGGGCGGGAGATTTGTGACCACGGACCCGTTTGGGAGACGGGACATATTGGCGACACTGTGTGTTTTGGGGACGGGTTGGGAAGTATGTACCTCGTTCAACCGAGCTGAGCCCAAAGAGTCCGTTGGGTGGGTTCGAAGCAGAGCCATCTCCGGCGAGAGGTTTTGAATCCTTCGTGCTTTCAGTTTCGAATGGGGGGAGTTTCGCAACAATGATTCGATGTCTTGCGCTGGCTGCACGTCCTGGTATCATGTATATCGTTCCTTTCTCATTCTCCACTGCGTTGCTAACCGGCTTTTTTTTCTCCCAGAGCAGGATTATTGACGGCACGAAGACAGACGTTGACTAACTTCTGAGCGAAAGGTACATATCTCCACTCTGGTGCTTCTCTCTGCGAGCCCAGTTGTTAGGTGGTGACTTGTTCCTCCCAGCCTCGTTTCTGTATCCCCAATGTACCCGTACCCATTATTAGTTCTGTCCCGCTCCGACATCCAGTCAGCCCTGGCTCTCAGACCGCCAGAGAAAAGGGCTTAGATCGCGGCTTGGCCTGGACGCAAGACAGCAAAGAAACAGGCAAGATTTGGCGACTCGACCTGCACCCGTTTGGCCCATGAAACGCCGGGTTGACCAGCTTCATCTGTCAAGGTGCAGATGTGCATGAGTCGCTGACAGGGTGAGAGGCGGGCATTTCCATTTTCTCCCTCGGCCTCCCAATGGGCCATAACGTGCATGTGCTGGCGTGGTTCGACACGGAGAGTTTTTGGCTGCAACGGTGGATGCGTTCCCTTCGTTGAGAGCGCCAGTCCTACTTCCTGGACGACGGGTTTGGGAGCTGACAGGGCGGAATGTCTTACTTCGCCTACGGACGTCGACCAGCTTGTGCTGGACTGCATGGTTTGGGGTTTCGTTGGCTGGGATCAGAGTTGCAACTCACCCAGGGCTCATCCGCCGGTCGTATTCTCAAACCCCTTCCTTCTCTCATGTGCAAGCCGGAACAGGAAACGTGCTCAAGGCTCCAGCTCGTCGACGAGGGACTGCTCATCCAGGAGGGCGGGACGAGCCGCCCCAACTGACTTCTCTTCTGGACATGTCTTTGTTGGGACGAATCCTTGCCCTGGAATTTTGGTGTCTCGTCAATGGGAATCTCAGGCCACCCTCCTGGGAATGAGAATGGGTGGTCGTGTTCCCCAGTATGCATGTCGCCTGTCAAGTGACCTCGCAGCCATCGGGGCTTTTTCTTTTCCTCCTCGAGTTGCGTGGTTCAGGAGGACGGGTGAGATCTACAGATCTCCTTCACAGTTTACGGCTGGAGGTCGCGCGACGTTGCAGGTAACGTCCCTGGACCTCCCGAAGATCTTTTCCTTTCTGTTATGAATCCGGATGGATTTGGTTGATTGCGCAGTTTTTAACCTGGTGGTTGGGAAAAATTCCAAAGTAACCCTCTGATGTAGGGATTTCCCAGGAGTATAAACCTGATCTGCTGTGGCCGCATGTGAAAGGAATTGCTTTTTCCTTGTTCGATGGCCAAAGGGTTGATGCGGTCAAGAAGCTTGCGAGAGAATGGCTCATTCCTCTCTCTGTTCCCAATCTTCCGGTCCTCTTTGGAATTCAGAGAATGCATAACATTGTCTGTGCCTCGTCCTCCTGCATGAGCAAATTACGTGCATCTCAGCACCCAAAACCCCGGTGCTGGATACTCCGTACTGTTCTCAAATTCCGTCACCACCTGCAAGTCCATGTCGTTTCTCTGATGGAATCCCCTCTGATATGTAAATGTTGTCCTGCGGTTCCAAAGCGCTTCTGATCTCTCGCTTCGCAGACCGAAAACGGGCATGCGGCTCGAAGTCAGCCTTTGTTCTGACGACATCAGGCAGCTGCACAGATTTCGCGCGGAAGATTCGATCACCTGGTGCGGAGTCATTCACACGCCCGTCATTCAACTGAGGATCAGAACCGAGCCAAATTGCATAAGCGAGAGGCGCTCTTCGAGCGTTGCGGTCTTCCTTGCTTCCTCCGTTTTCATCGGAATTTTTAATACCCTTTGATATCTTGTGGAGGCTTCCTGCAAAGGCTCAAGGCGCAAGGCTCCTTTCAGCCTGTGGAGCAAATCATTTTGAGAAAGAGTCATTTTCATCTCTCCGTTGGATGCATACAGATTGTTGACCTGCTATTACACAGCATGCCGGATGGCCTCTTCGGGGGCAGTTGTGTGCTTTTCAACCATCATGCGCCGCATTCAGTAATCCGGGACCCCTAAAAGCCCAAAGGGAATGATTCTTGACGTGTAGCCCACAATAAGGACGTTGCTACGTCTCGGGCTATTTGTGGGTTCAGTGCAACAAGTGATACAATCTGCCAGAGCCCGTTTTCATTGCAGATATCGTTTGGAACGTTTGAGAGGTTTCCGCATCTCTATACTTTGTAGTATTCGCTTGGTACGCGAGACAATAGTCGTTGAGTACTTCACCAAATACTTTCGTGTTTTTGCAGCGGAACCTCCGTCCCAACTGATGAGGAACCAGACAAGACGTGAGCCTAGCCATTTAATGGCCGGTGATATATTCCAAAACTATTGAGAAGCCAAGATTGCTAGCTGGCATGAAGAGCATAAAACATTTTAACGAAGTCCAGAAAACGACACAAGAATTACATATTCCGTCCACCAGTGACCATGATAGTCTGGCCATTAACATAACTAAACAGTGGGCTGACGACTCCCAAAATCGACCTCGCTGCCTCAGTGGGACTAGCCGGTCGTCGAAGAGGGATATCAACATATTGCTCCGTGGTCTCGCCGACCTTGTTCGCTAGCTGCGAAGTCGGAATCCCGAGAGCAACCTTTTCTCCTTCGGGGGTGGTGATAAAAGCACCAGCCTCCTTGGCCTGAGTGAGGCGGGTGAGCACGAAACCAAACGCGATGGTGTTGGCGCGAACGCCGAACTGAGGGCCCCATTCTTTGGCGATGGTCTTGGTGAGGCCGACCATACCCGCTTTGCCAACGGCATAGTTGGCTTGTCCTCTGTGAATTTGGGTATTTAGATTGTGTTTTCATGGAAAGGAAATGGGGTGGTTTTAGGGAATGGGTACGAACGCGTTTCCATGGATACCGCTGGTGCTGCTGATATTGACGATGACTCTGGGTTCTCCGTCCTTGACACGGAAATACGGGGCGGCGGCTTGGACGAGCTTAAAGGGAGCGGTAGCATGGACCGCGAGCATCTTCTCCCATTGTGCGTCGGAGAGCTGTAGGGACTTGTTAGTGATATGGCGTAACCACTCGAGGTTTCTAGAGGGTCATCCAACCTTATGAATAACGCCGTCCCATGTGTATCCAGCGTTGTTTACAATGATATGGATCTTCCCATTTCCAAACTCTGCTGCCTTTTGCACGACTCTCTTCAGATATTGTGAATCGGTCACGTCTCCAGCCACGGCGATGGCGCGTCCGGGGCTAGCATCGTTGATTGACTTTGCGACTGCCTCTGCCTTTTCTATCCATTCCCGAAAACATTTGCATTAGTTTCATTCAAGCAGTAGACGTTGTAGAAGGCTTTGAAGTACGTACTGTTGTCAAGATCCGCAACCACGACCTTTGCCCCCTCGTTCGCAAACATCCGCGCGGCTTCGGCGCCGATTCCTTGACCAGAGCCGGTGATGATGGCTACCTGGCCGTGGAGCATACCCTGGGGGTAGTTGAGGTGCGAAGACACCTGGGACAAGCGGTCTTGGGGAGCCATTGTTGATACGGCGAGTGGTTTGATTGATGAACGGGCTAGTAAAAACGAGAGTCGATGCAACAATGGATAAATGATCAAAGAAGAAAGTAGAAATTCGAGGGACTGATCGGTATTTCTGTCGATTCTGCTGCTCCTCTTTTGCTTCTCAGAGCTCCCCCCCAGAACAGCGCTTTAGCCCCGGATTTCGAGATGCCGAGGCCTGGAAGTGCCGTTTTGGCTGCGCTTCTCGGCGCCCGCCGTTGGGCTGGAAATCCCGAGGTTTTGGTGCCAAGATTCCGGCTTCACCGGCGAGGAGGAGAGATCAATATCACGAAGATCGGGGATTTAATACGCGCAGGTTCGATAGGATGGAAGAGAGTCTATGTCTAATTACGTAGGTACTGTGCAGATTTAACCTCTGCCAAACGACGCCCCCTATCCAGCGCAAGCCGGCGCAACACCACTATGCCGATAATCGAATGCCTCGAGCAATCCCGTTAAATGTGCACAGGCAGCGAGCACCACGAGTAGATGGAACACCTGGTGCGAATGCCCCACAATATCGAACTTCCCGGGCCACAGCCGCTCCGGAACCCGTGCCGCATAGATAGCCGCACCAAGAATATACAGGAATCCCTGGAGCAGTAGCCACCAAAGTCCAATTTGCCGTCGCATCTGCGCGAATCCAAAAATAACCAGACCATGTATAACGGGGAACACAGCGGAGAGGCCCATCGACACAAACATCGTCGCTCGAAACGGTCGCCAGGCGGGTGTTCGGAAACGGGGTATCGTGGAGACGGTCGCGCAACCGAGACCTAGCAAACAGATCATCGACCAATACAGCACTTGCAGATTTGGCATGCAGTAAAACCCGTAGTATACACTGGGGACGAAGCTACCGGCGATAAGGCCCACGATACCGACATAGTCGCATGCGTTGCCGATGTACGCCACCAGCGGAGAGTGGTTGGATATGGTGTGGTACAGGGAGCTCATTCCAAGACAGAATGCCGCGCCGGCAAAGAAGCAGCCAAAGGCTGTTATATCTGCATGGCTTGCGGTCTCATACCGGGGAGAGATCGCTCTGTATATTGCGATGGAGAGGGGAACGGACAGGAGGGCCGGGAGGAGGTGGGAGTAGATGTTCACGGTCTCATTGTGGATGTAGGCGAGCGATTTGAAGCTCTTCACAAAAGATTTCGAGGCTGGCCGGTAGCCCGCGTGGATGTGTTGGTTATCACGCAGCCAGTGCGGCAGGTCGTCCCAGTGAATGGTCCTGATGGTGGTTTTCACGATGCGGGCTGTATTAGTCGTCCCATCTGTTGCTTCTTCCACCTCAGTTTGGACGGAAACCTGTCGGCGCTGCACAACTGACATTCTCAACCCTTCCAACCTCAGTCCATCTCTTGCTGCACCTGTGCTTTGTTGTGAATCTGGATCTTTGCCTTGCTGTTGGGATCTGGAGAGCCGTTTATTTCTTTTCTGTAGGCCAGGCCGCTGCAAACAAAGCAAACAAGAGGCGCTTGCCTGCAGTGGGAGCAGCGGGATCGATTTGAAGGTAACAGCACTCGAGGAGAGCAACGCGGTTCTCTAGCAATGGAGACTGGAAGGATTGCAGGCTAATGGCATCGAGAGAATACAGATACCTGCCTGACCTAGGCCCGTCGAGAGCTGCTTCACCAGATGAAGTGAAATGGCGCATCGGGCAGCACACTCACGCTCAAGCTCCGGATGGGGCCGTCAGAAGCAAAAGCCGCCTCCAGACCCGCTAGAGAAGCCTGGATATGCGTCCAAGGGTGACAGCGCGTACGTTTTCTATTGAATCTGGCTAGCATACACTGTTTGATGGGCCGGGGCTGATCTGTTGTTTATCCTAGACTCGTTGAAATCCAGGCCCAAGAGTCTTATTTCAGGCTCATCATGGATCGGTATGCCCAGTTCTGCAGGGACAACTCCGATAACCTGCAAGCTGCATTCACGTCTCTGCCCAGGGATCCCTCTGAAGATGCTACTAAAAATCCACCAGCGAGCTTGCCTCAGAAACAGGACCCGAAAAAGCAAGCCGCTCAACGCACCACACTAGCAGCTAAGGAGCTTTCGGTTATTCTGGTTGCCCTTAGGAAATTGAGAGAAGCCATCCTAGCCACAGCAGCGAAGACCCCGGTGCCCTTCTCGCAGGAAGTCCACATATTTTGTGTCCGGACCGCTCTTCTCGCGGGTCACCCGCCTTCGTATTATCCGCCCCTGGAACGATTACTGACAACCCTTAATACACCAGCCCATCCGCTTGGGATTTCGGCGTTGAACGAGTTCCTAACTTATTTCATCTTCGATTTTGCTTGCCGCCAAGAAGATATTGTTACTGCGATCCGGTTGCGCGACAGGGCAGAGGTGAAGATCGGATACCAGCACGAGATACTTGACAAAGCCCTTTTGGCTCTAACCCATGATGACTGGATCTCGTTCTGGAAAACTAGAGATCATGCGGATGGCTATATCAGGTCGCTCATGGATTGGGCTGCCGACAATATGCAGCTTCGTGCCCTTAAAGCCATTGGGAAATCGTATATGACCGTGGACTTGGAGTTTCTGATTGAATCCTGTACCGGTCGAAAAGATGGTTGTACTTGGGAGGAGCTGGTGCAAAAACATAATCTTGGCTGGAAGAGAGACAATAACAAGGTGACCATCAGAATCAGGAAGTAGGCTCCTGGCAGTACAAATTCAGCTGCAGATTAAACTTGCGGATAGTCGATCCTCGGCCTGGAACCTCCCTTGGCGCGTACATGGCAACCGGACAATTATGCAACCTTGGGGAGTTTTGGAGTAGTTTTGCATCGACGGATTTGGACCTTTAGTGACTCAGGTTCAACCTTCAATTCGTTATTTTAAAGTTTGCATTTGGCCGTTCCCAGTTGATATCCCTAGATGGTGGCTGCTTTGAGATCTGCTCTGTTAAACCAACCTTGAGATTTCCTGAATTTTCTGAGCAAAGTTCATAAATTGTTGCTAGGTTGAACGTGAGACTCTGGAAAGACTTGTTGTTCCCGATAAGAGACTCGAGTATTTCCTTAGACTAGCTTCATGGTTAGCAACTTCGGCAAGACCAGCAAACAATGGAAATGCCTTACTTCATTCAATTTCCCGATGTAAAGGAGGCACACTGCTAAATTTTGCGTTATTACGGTTTCGTTCTCCTTCCCAAGATGGCTTTCACCGAGGCTCCTCCACTCAGTAACAGCATCTGCAAATCGACCCTCTGCCATGCTCAACAACGGACCCAAAATGCCACCTCCCGCGCGCGGCGAAGTTTCCAGCAGTAGCCTTGCCGCTTCCAGATCCCCGATTCTAAGGTGTAGAAGGGCCATTCTCATAACTGCCAAGTCATTTTCCAGGGGTGTGTTCATATTTGCTAAAGACCGCCGTGCAGCCTCCAGATCACCCATCTCTATTAATGTATTGACCACTCGAACTCCCAAATCATTGAGACGTTCCTTCCACATATTCTTTTCCTCATAACCAATCTCCGGGCGCAAGATTTGTTTTCTAGCTTCCAGGCTGAGTTCATAAAGCCCGGCGATCCCTCTTCGCGCGTCGCCAAACCCGATACTCTGTAGCCTGACTGCTAGAACGCGGAGCGGCCATGGTACTATATGGTGGGAGCGGTCGCCTGTAGCGTCGCTGTCGAGATAATAGAATGCGGAGCTTAGGTCTTCCAGAGCTTTGGCTTCTTGGGCCGCCAGTAGAGTATTCCCGCACAGTTCAAGACATGCTAGGCGGGTGTAAAATAGCGAGAATATGGTTACGTGGTCATTCGCTGATATGATGGGCGATGTCAGTATTAGGGCTGAGAAATGCGCCGCCGGGAGAAAGTGTCCGTCGTTCAGCAAAGCGTCTAGTATTGACAAGGTTGATTGGAGTGACGGGTTCGGGGGTAGTACTGGAAACTCTGAACGAAATGCGGACGGCACTTCTAGCTGGGAGAGCGGGTGGTAGATGTCTGTTCGGAGGAGAAATGAAAAGCTCTTATTTACGGGTACTGAGAAGGTCGACGCCGCGGAGACCCTGGTGGATGAGGCTGTTTGACTTGCAGCATGGCTAGATTGTATTCTCGGAGGAGAAGAGATATCCTTGGGGCTTGCTATGGTGCTATCAGCCATTAGGGGGCCCGGTTCTTCTAGTGGAGGGTTCGAGAGACTGCATACTCTTCTGGCATATCTAAAGGGCCCTTGGTAGAGCTGCGAGGTCGTGTAGCTAGAAACAAGTTAGCCCAAATGATGCAGTAAGCAGCAACGCAGCGCATGTTCCATCTGATAGCAAAGGGGGCTAGTTATACTGACATCTCACGGACGGGTTACGTCGATGCGTGGAGCTAGGGCTGTCCATTGTGACTAGAGGTGCGGTCGGGATAAAATCTCTGCTCTGGCTTTCACTTCCTGTCACCTCTCTTTCATCAACCAGCAAGATGTTTTCCTTCTTGTTCGGCAGCAGGCCCAAGCCTGCAACAATGGCTGATCCTGAGCATCCAACGCTGGCTGTGACTGCCACCGGAAGAGACCTGGGTTCTGCCAGGCGGTGAGTGCACGGACCACACCCTTCACTAGCGTCTTCTTACCTAAACAATGCCCCTGATGATCTAATGCACTTCTGGAGAGAGATGTTGTGTTCTTCTTGGGCCTCTGTTATGTCTTGTGCTTCGATTGACGTGTGAAACAGGCGATTCCGCATGCCAAATCGCGGCCCTCGATACCGGCCATCGCTCGAAGTATTGCACCAGGATTCCGTCCTCGAAATTGACAAGGCGCGTCAGTCGAAGGCTCCCAAGATGGCACCCCCAGACAAGTACTCTGTCATCCTCCCTACCTACAATGAGCGCAAGAATCTGCCGATTATCTGTTGGCTGATCGAGAAGACTTTTCGCGAGAAGTAAGTTGGTTCTACGCGTCTCAAGCTTGAGTTGGGCTTGTGGAAACAGATACTAACGCGCCCCGCTTTTGGCTTGTAGCAATCTCAACTGGGAGGTCATCATTGTCGACGACGCATCTCCGGACGGAACTCAGGACATTGCGAAGCAGCTTCAGGGCTTGTGGGGTGAGGACCACATTGTCTTGAAGCCGCGTGAAGGAAAACTCGGCCTTGGGACCGCCTACGTCCATGGTTTGAAATTCGTCACTGGCAACTTTGTTGTCATCATGGACGCCGACTTCAGCCATCACCCCAAGTTTATCCCCGAGATGATCAAGATTCAAAAGGAAACCAATTGTGATATCGTCTCCGGAACAAGATATGCAAACCGCGGCAACCTGCGTGGCGGAGTTTATGGTTGGGATTTGTGGCGCAAGTTGACTTCCCGCGGAGCCAATTTGATCGCGGACATTATGTTGATGCCGGGAGTGAGCGACCTCACTGGAAGTTTCCGCCTGTACAAGAAATCGGTCTTGGAGAGAGTCATCAGGGTCACCGAGAGCAAAGGGTACACCTTCCAGATGGAAATGATGGTCCGCGCCAAAGCCATGGGATACAAGGTGGAGGAGTGCCCAATCACTTTCGTCGACCGCCTTTACGGAGAGAGCAAGCTGGGTGGTGAGGAAATCGTGGAATATCTAAAAGGCGTCTTCACCTTGTGGCTGAAAGTCTAAGGAGTTTGTCTCGGATGGATTCGAATGCCCTTTTTTATTCTGCATTTCTGTACGGCGAACTGGTGCAACGGATTTCAGGAAAGCGGAAATGTACAACACGAGGGATTCTTGCCTTCTTAGTAGATACTTTTAATGACGATTATCTGAAAATAGTGATTAATGAAGACCGCGTTGACACGTTCGTCGCGAGTCAAGAGAATTATGCTAGCGCTCAACAATGGAAAAATGTTTTGCGTTCATGATCTTTCAATGTCGTTCAGATACCTTTCGACCCTCGATACCAGCTCTTTCCGTGGCCCTTCTTGATCTACTCCACTTGGCGAGTGCCGCGCCCCGGGAATGATGCCACTGTTCGCATTCCAAATTTCGCGGTCACCGGCGCGTTGTTTAGTGGCCCTTTCCCATCTCTTCAGTAAACCCTCCTTGTCGACAAAGCTCGGGACATACTCATCCGACCCGCCCGGTAAGACAAGAAGGGAACCCTTGAGTATACCTTTGGAGCATATCGCGCCAAAAGTTTGCTCCAGCCGCTCGTCACCAAGGTCAGAGCTGAAGAGGTCGTCTTCCAATGGAGACTCAGGACTGTCTGGACTTGCCAAACTCAGAAAGCGATGGCTGGACATGGGCACTTCGGGATCGAGGCCGATCCTAGCAGTCGAAGCTAGCGGCAAAATGGCATTCTTGCTACAGTTCGTTACATTCACCTTTGCCAGATAAACGAGGCCGTCGTAGACTTTTGTTAATTCCTCTGAAGGTGTGGCAGCATCACCGGCTCTGAGAAACTGTAGGAGGTTCTCTCTGTCTGACACCGGGGCCTGAAGAATAGCCCCCTCGACTTGCGGCCTGTCAGGGGCAGAGACAGAATAGAGATAATGGAGTACATCCTGGCTTCCGGTCGAGTGTCCCATCAAGGCAACCATAGTAGGAGTATCTCCGTTTTTAGCGCTTTTGTACGTTTTCACGTATTTCACACAGTTTCCAATCTCTTCGACATCTTTATCCAGACTAACCATGCCCCATCCGTTATAGGAGGACGAAAGGAGCACAGCAAAGACAGACCAACTCGTCGGCTCAAGGGTTTTGGCTAAGTCTTTGATGTAGGGAACAGTACCCAGCCCATCCGAAAGCCCGCCAATAAAAAGAAGCGAATGAGGCTTAGGTCTTTCACTTGCACTTCCATATTCAAATGCACACAGCTTTTCTGACTGCACATTTACAGTGGTATCAGCTTGGAGTTGATCGGCTCCATGAAAACGGGCGATTGTTGGCTTCTTACATAGTGGTGCAACGTTCCGGAAAAAGCACTTGGAGTCATTTGTTCGTCCATAATAAGCACAGGAATTCAAAATATGAACTGCGAGTATCAGAAGAAGGCCTGCCGCAAAAATGAATGTTGGTTGATATTGAATTGCCATGAAGCTGGATATGAGGGGGCGGCTGCTTAGTCACAGGATTGGTTAGAATGGTGAGCTCCATCCAAACTTCATCCTTGAGAATTCTCTCTGATACTATTGATCAATCGTGTGCTAGTCGCCTTCTTTTACTCTGACAGGTTTCATTATATGTTCTCTGATCTTTGAACAATGGAGCCTAGCCATAGCAGATACCCAGGATTGTAGAACGGGAATTTGAGGGTTCAGCCTATATCCCTAGCAGAGAAGTTGGATATCATTCTCTTCAGGCATAACTACCTATTCTGCTCTTTTCAGAATGGCATCACGGCCAACTAAACGGTCTCGTCGGCCCCGCACAGCGGTCCGCAAATACACAGATGATGCTTTTGAAGCTGCAGGGCTAAGCCCTGAAGTCTCCGAGTCTGAGCAAACGGTTCCTGAAAAGCACAAAAGTGGACGTGCCGAGGATGAAGATTTTGTGATGGGGGAGGACAAAGAACGAGAAGTTTCTGATGAGGAGGACGAAGCCGGTACGGAATTGCTTTTAGACCTATGAGAAAGCGGCTGACAATTCCATAGATTTTGATGAAGCAGAGTCTGCTGTAGGGTCAACGCTTGATAAAATAGAGCAAGCTGATCAGAAAAGATTGGCTCAGGTAGATTCGAATATGACTCACTCGCGGGGCTTGCTTAAACCTGCAAACCATACCGCAAAACTCACACAATTGAAATTAACATTCGGAACTAGCGTTCAAGACTTGCTTCCGATCATCTGGACAAGAGACCACTGGGCATATGGGAGAGACGCAACTTTCCCGAGTGCGGAGAGTTTCCAGGCTGCCCAAAATGGCATTACGTACGGAATTGGAGGCTCTTTTTGCTATGATAGCGCTAAACTAGCAATGGAAGCTGGCAAGGGATGGGATTGGTACTATAGCCCTGTTGGTGACAAGCTTCTAAAAAGCCAGCACTTGGAAATCATTAACGCAGAGGCAAGGGGAAAATACCTGCCACGGAACAGAGGAGAGAAACATACTATTTTGGTAGGGCCTCCTGGGAAGCAAAAGGAATTCCGTCTGGGAAACAGCGAATTCTTTGACTTTGGAGCCGCCTGGGAAGCACCGAAACCCAAAGAGGCGAAGCGAGGGCGTCACAAGAAGGCTGATAAGCAATTTCAAGACGCCGAAAATGATCCTGCGGATCACTCGGACACGGCGCCGGAGGTAGAGCGGATACGTGAAGGTTGGCTCTTGAATTTGGGAAACAAGGTGCAGTGCGCCGCATGGGCGCCGAATTGTACTGGTACTACTCAATATCTTGCAGTAGTCGTTCCTCTCTCTGAGTCGCAGAAGACTGCAGAATGTGATCTAAAGTACACTGGCGCCCCTGCTTTTACGCCGTCGCCACCATACCCAGCAGCGATCCAAATATGGTCATTTGAAGCGCAAGAAGGGGAATCATCTCCGCGGCCTCTAAATATGGCCCTTAAACCGCGGTTGCGTCTGGTTTTGTGCACTGAATATGGAGATCTGAAGCGGCTTAGTTGGTGCCCGATGCCACGAAAAGCTCGTCCATTGAACATGGAAAACAAGGGGCCGCTTAACTTGGGTCTATTGGCGGGAATCTGGGGAGATGGAACTGTCAAGGTACTGGATGTGAATGTTGAAGAAAATTCGGAAGAGACCCAATGGCGTACGTTAACCAGCGTGTGAGATTTTGGCCCAAATTGGTTACTGATGGCGGATTTAGTAAAAGTCCAATCCCCTATGTTTCAAGCAAAGCCCCCATCCACATTATGTACTTGTCTCGCATGGCTTTCTCCAAGTGACCTAGCCGTTGGGTGCGCAAATGGGTTTATCGCAGTTTGGAGCCTCCCGGCGTCCTGTGCTCGACCCCAGTCAAGCCCTATACCGTATATTTATACTCCGATTTACAATACTTATATTCTGAACATCCACTCAGCATACCCGACGTACCCATATCTACTTGCTTCCAGCTGCATTGATGGTCAATCGAAGCTGTCTTCCCTTGCGGACCCGCAGGTCGACACTGCCGAAGCGCTTCGAACTCGAATGGGCACGCCAAATCTATCGTATTCGCCATTTTTTCAGACCTTCGTAACGACAGACGAAGCTGATTATGTTCGTATGCACCCGGTTCGTCGTTTCTTTGCACCCGTTTTGACCCTACGCTCTACATCCAACGTAACGTCAGTCGCCCCATGTAGCCCCTGCCATCCTACGATCCTAGTTGGCAGCGCAGGAGGTGTCGCTATGGCGTCAAATCCACTCCAGAGACTGCTGAACTCGAAGAATAAACATTTCCAACAGACTTGGTTCTCTCACGAGTGGGTGCACAGGAAGAACGACGGGAACGGAGAAAGGATCGGAGTCAGTAGATTTTACGAAGGCTTCAAGGCTGAAATTCCGAACCTGTTGAGAAGTGCTCCACAGGGGAAGATATCGAGCAACGTGATGACTATATATGAAGAAGAAACGGCTGTCACTGTTCTAGCTTTCAATCCCAACGAAAGTTGCGCTGGATGGACTTGTGCAGGCCTGGGGTGTGGACTCCTTCGGGTGGAGGATTTGACCCTCCGCAAGCGTTGTTAACATTGGATGACCTTTCAATATCAATGTGCGAGATTGGCGATTTGGCTAACGGACCGAGAGCGTCTATCGATGGCCGCGAGAATGGGCACTCTTGCTGGAAACAAAATAGAATGCATTTCCGTATCTCGTCCATTTGATATGATTAGTCAGCACACCACCTGCATCAAAGACCCAAGCATCTCCTCCGCTCCAACAAGCATCCAAGTTGGACGAGAGGAAACAGACAGACTCAGGAACAGCGGTTGCTGAAGCCCTGGACTATGCCGCTCTTCCCATATACCGTTTACTTCGGGCTAGTTGGATCTCGGAACCCTCATGATCACTCATCACCCTTTTCGTCAGCCAAAATCGGGTGGCTGGTCTTTTTCCCAACCACCCAAATATGGTCCGCGGGCAACATGAACCCAGCCCGATTCATGCCGTGATGGGTTTTGAATACCTTCCTGTTGCTGAGGACAGCTCCGTATTCCGGCCCACTTATTTATTTTCTAGGTGCAGCAATCTCAGTGTGATTCCTGCTTTGTTTTGTTTCTTTGATCGTGTTTAAGGCGTCCATTGTCTCAAACCAGACGCTACTACTGCATTCTTCCTTAGGCTTCGAGCGTTATCGCTGCCCATAATGCGGCTCCATAGGTTGACCGCGATCGTTTCGTGTCTATTCTCCACATTCTTCACAGATGCGCGCCCGCTAGCCTCCAAGCAAGCCATCCACCCTCCGCTCGATCGAAGGCGAGTCACATACTCAGTGGTTCAGGTTGATGGAGACGCTACTCTATCTCAAAGCGATATACCGAATGTTATTACGGTGCCTGTACCAGGTCCGCCCGTCACAGAGACCGTGGTGGCTACCGTGACCGTAACCCAACCGTCTTCAACATGGACAAGCGATCCGACCTCATCTGAAACTTCGGCAGCATCGGAAAGAACAACAACAAAAACGACAACCGTGTTAGCAACTCCAATGACGGAATCAACGTTTTCATCCACAACGCACATTGTCTCTTCACCGACAGTCACGTCCCCCTGTCCTACCACAGAAATCGATACATTTTCGTCGACGACACTTCTTCCTTCCGGCGAATCTGAATCCCAATCCTCAAGAGTCTCGGCCTACCCGTCTACGTCACTAGGCTCGGTTTTGAGGTTCCCGGCTCCATCTGCGAGCTCGTCGAGCATAACATTCCACCGACCTACGTTGACTGCCTTGCCTTTGATTTGAAAAGCTTATGACCAACATGAATATATGTTTTGATGGAGATGTGTAATGTTTCTATGATGGATTCTAGCGGGCTCTGGCCTGTTAAATAGTTTGTATACTAGGTTCAAGCAGGCGTTGGAGGCTGGTCCGATACTGGGGTTTAGGTCAAATCGGCATTTCCTTTAAAACATTGATGTCAATAACATCCAAATTTTTTCTTCACCGAGTTACCATTTCAAATATTTATTTGAAGTCCATTTGTACAGACTGTGCTGCTGCGACGCAAAGATGTAGATTGAGCCAACAATAGTGGACATACATGGGGTTTTTACCAGCTACTCTATGGATATATAGCTATTCATCTCTAAATCTAAAAGCTTTTCAGATCCAGCTAGGAACAAGTGCTGCGAAACGAACAGCCGGTTTCACAGATGTGGCTGTCGCAAGTTGACAGGTCGTGAACGTAATCACCCGCACTAATCAACTAGTTCACTTCCTGGAAGCGCGGAGTTAATTAGGTTATCATATTGTTGCTACTCAGCCGTCACCATCCGTCAATCAATTGCACAGAGCTCACATTTAATTCACATTCAACAAGCGCGCACTACCTCCTGCTGGCATCAGTGAATCTGCTGCTTCAAGCAACTCCCAGACCGATTTGTTCCCCGACCATCGGACGTCGTGTGAGGCGCGGCCACTTCCTGCAGGTACCATGGCCAGCGGGCCGCACTCCTCTGAGGACCAGGGCCGTCTGCTCGAAGAGGCCCTGGGGATTGTCCGGCAACAGTCGATAATGATGCGAAGATGTTTGGAAACCCCTGGGAAGCTTATGGACGCTTTGAAATGCGCGTGAGTATACGACTAGTCCGTTGATTGTTTCTGCCTTGGGGTCCTTCTAACTCATGCCAGTTCTACACTGATCTCAGAGCTCCGTACGCCTAGCTTACCCCCGAAACAGTATTACGAGTTATACATGGCTGTATTCGATGCGCTGCGCCATTTGTCCGATTACCTTCGAGAAAGTCATCCTGTCAATCACCTGGCCGATCTGTATGAACTGGTTCAGTATGCTGGCAATATAATCCCGCGCCTGTACCTTATGATCACCGTGGGCACGGTGTATATGGCTATTCCGGATGCTCCTGTCAAAGAGATCATGAAAGATATGATGGAAATGAGCAGAGGCGTGCAGCACCCGGTGCGCGGCTTGTTCTTGAGATACTATCTATCCGGGCAAGCCAGGGATCATTTGCCGACTGGGACTGAAGAAGGGCCCCAAGGAAACCAGCAAGACTCAATCAATTTTATCCTGACGAACTTTGTGGAAATGAACAAGCTATGGGTTCGGTTACAGCACCAAGGACACTCACGAGAACGAGAGCAAAGAACTCAGGAGAGAAGGGAGCTTGAGGTTCTGGTCGGAAGTAATCTGGTTCGCCTCAGTCAGTTGGTTGACTTGGAAACTTATAAATCCGTCATATTACAACCTCTTCTGGAGCAGGTCGTCCAATGCAGAGACGTGCTTGCTCAGGAGTATCTTCTAGAAGGTTTGTTATACTCTCGCCATGGTTTACGTCGGGGGCTCCTTAACTAACGGCATGCTTCTAGTGATCACGAAAGCTTTCCCTGATGAATACCATTTGCATACACTCGACGTCCTACTCACCGCTATCTCAAGACTTAACCCCCACGTTGACATGAAAAAGATTGTCATTGGGCTAATGGACAGACTATCGTCGTATGCGAGTCGAGATACTGACAATAATGCCACCGTTGAAGCTAAGAGAGAAGTAGAGGAAGAGGCTACCCGGAAACTGCTCGAACGAGTGAAAATATCCAAAGAAACCAAACCTGCAGAAACAGAAGAGGCCAGACAAAATGGAACTACTCGGCCGGAAGAGGCTAGTAAGGAAGAAGATGGCGAGCAGAAATCCGACAAAGACCAGGAACCTCCGCCCGAAGCCTCAACAGAAGCGTCTAATGAGGATGAGAACCACACGCCTAAAACGACTTTACCGGGTGATACCAAGCTATATGAGATCTTTTACGACCAAGTAGTAAACCTAGTGATGACCCGTGGTTTACCAGTCCAAGATACCATTGCGCTTTTAGTCTCTCTGGCAAATCTTGCATTGTGAGTTCTGGAGCGCCGAATCTGTTATACGAAGCTAATGGAATGTATAGGAATATATATCCAAGCAGATTAGGTCGGGCACCTTCGGATTCTATGGTTCCTACACTGTGCACGATAGATGCTAATGGGTAAAATAGAATATATTGACCAGATTCTCGAATTTGCGACTCAAAAGACCTTAGATCATGCCGATAGCGCGGACCTACACTCTGCGCCGGCGCAATCAAGTCTTCTCAATCTCCTCTTAGCCCCCGTTCATTCATACGTTTCGATTTTCACAGCATTGTCACTTCCGAATTATATCCCCCTATACACCGCGCAGTCATATCCAACCAGAAGAGCTGTCGCTGGAGACGTTATCCGCAATATTTTGAAAAACAAAATTTTGATATCCACGACACAAAACCTTGACAATGTCCTTCAGATACTCAAGGTTTTGATAAGGGAAGGGATGCAGCAGCCTCTCGGCTACCCAGGTGTTTCTACACAACGACGTGGAGAAACGGATGAGACTATTGAGGAGCAAGGATGGTTGGCACGATTAGTCCACTTCATCCAGGGTTCAAACAACGAGACACAATTCAAGGTATGGCCCCTCGAAAAGAATTTATTATAACTACGCTAATTTCATATAGCTCTTGCAAGCCTTAAGAACGGCTTACTTGGAAGGAAACGAAAGAATTCGGTACACCACTCCAGCGCTCATCACGGCTTCACTCAAACTAGCCCGTAACCTAAAAAAGCGGGAGCATCTTGAGGATAACTTCCAGGCGCAATCTGCTGCAGTATACAGGTTTATGCACCAATGCATAAGCACCCTATATCAAAGAGTAAATTCGGGTTGTGCGGAACTGTCATTACGCCTCTTTGTTCTTTGCGGTCAAGTTGCCGACCAGGCCGGATTCGAAGAGTTTAGCTACGAATTTTTCGCGCAGGCATTCACAATATACGAGGATTCTATCAGTGATTCAAGAGCGCAATTTCAGGCTGTATGCATTCTTGTCAGTGCGCTCTATGGCACAAGGAACTTCTCAAGGGAGAATTACGACACTCTCATCACCAAAGCCGCTTTACACGGAAGTAAACTGTTGAAGAAGCCGGATCAATGTCGAGCGGTTTACTTAGCAAGTCACCTTTGGTGGGTGATGGATGCGCCACGAGCAGAGGGGGAGGAACCCGCAGTTGTAAGTGCAATTGCCTGCTCTCAAATCTTTCTTTTCCCTCAAGAATAGCCCGCAAGCTTATCCCGAAACCATCAAAACCTAACACCTCATACTCGAAAACAGGTCTACCGCGACGGAAAACGAGTCCTCGAATGCCTCCAGCGCGCTCTCCGCGTCGCCGACGCCTGTATGGACACCGCCGTCTCCGTCGAACTCTTCGTCGAGATCCTCAACCGCTACGTGTACTACTTTGACCAAGGAAACGAAAACGTCACCATCAAGTATCTCAACGGGCTCATCGAGCTCATCCAGTCCAATCTCCAGACCAACCAGGTCGACGGAAACGTCAATTCGAGCCTGGAGAATCCCAAGCGGCATTTCCAGCGGACACTGGAGTATATTAAATCGAGGGGGTATGAGGGTGTCGTCTTAGGCCCGGCTGTGTGATTTTCCTGGAACGGAGTTTGATGATATATTTCGTGGTGTAGCCAGTTACTTTTGAGTGTACGTTTTAACATTGAATGGAAAGTTGTCTACCCGTTTGTCAATGCAGCTCATATTGTCGTCTCGTGTATACTTTGGATTTTCCTGCTGGCGGGCTTCTCGACGCTTCTTCTTCTTCTTCTCTTACCTTTCTACGTTTAATTTTTCTTGGTCTCCTACAACTACTCCTGGGCCGCGACCTTTTCGCCTCAAAGGCAATCGGAAAAGCAAAGATGGTGGTTTACAAAGGGGAGATTATTTGGCAGTCGAACAGCGTTCAATTTCATTTCTCCGCACCTCATGCACGAGTTAAGAGTGAAAGCCATATGGGCCCGCAAAACAGTAGGAGCACCCCCATGAAGCAGCTAGCCGGCTGCCATGGTTGCCTCGTCTGCCTACCCGTCTGCCAGAACAACCCGCCTTCCTTGCTGTAGTACAGTAGATGAAAAGCTCGTTTCCCGAGCAGCGACTTGGAAAAGGCAAAGTAAAATGGAATCGAAAGAATAGAGGGCCAGCAGAAAGAGCAAGTTGTAGAAAGAACAAAGTGGAGAAAAGGGCAAAAAGAAGCGCCTGGAAATTGAGAAAGGCCGAAGAGTAGACGACGGATAAAGCGATGCTGGATAGGAAATTGAAGAGTTGACGTTTGATGACCGTGATCCTTCATGCTAACATTGTCGAGACATTAGAGGGTCATGATGATAAGAATGGGGCGAGAAAAAAAGAGTAGATGTGAGTTCATTAGCCTAGCCGCAAACCAAGAGACTTAGAAGCCCGTGGTGGGTGAGATGTTTGTCGTAGCAAACTGCCTCGGGCCACTCCCAGGAGGAGCTGGCAGAATTGAACTCGGAACAGGACTGCCAATGTCTCCAGGAACAATACTCCCTCGAGTACTCGACGATATACTGTTGTTATCCGGTTCAAATTTGACAAATGTACCACGAGGCCCCTCATTTTTGATTGCAAATGAACCACCGCCGTTCTGAGCATTGCCTTCTGTGTCGCAAATATCCAGCATCTCGTCAAGTGTAATTAGAGGTTCATTCGGAGAACTCGACTGTTCCACATGGCGAAGAATTTGGTTGACGTTGTGATATCCCGATTTGTCGGCGCCACTGGCGGTACTTAGTTGCTTGCAAGCTTGAATGACTGATAGTCGAATTGCAACAGGTCTTGATGTGTGAGCGCGATGGGATCCCCCAAGGATGCCAAAAGCATTTGCTGACCAACCAGTCCCTTCACAAATAATCAGTGCTCAAGGACCTCAGAATTAAATCATTGTTGACTCACCTGAACCAGGTCCCCATGATGGGCCAGCTGGGAATCCAGGAGCTTCGAATGGATTGTGCGACGCCCAGCCCGCACCAGAACCGGGAGCACCCAACGGGAAGGGTGATTTAGAAGCTACGTTAAGGTTAGTATGGAGAAAAAGAAAAATTATGAGGCCAGTTAGTAAGACTTACACCCTAGGGGATCGGAGAACAGCGACGGGGTTCCGAACCCAACTCTTCCGGATCCTGGAAGGCCTGGTGTGATGGTCGATGGTAGAGGTTGTGAAGGAGGGGATGTGAGAGGAATGTCGCTGTCATCGAGTAATGCACTACTACCAAGTTGGGTACTGAGTTCGTCGATCTCCTGTTGGTTTCGTTTCGATTCATCCTTGTGCTGGTCATGCGGCACTGTACTTCCAGGCCGCTGGATAGGAGCGGGTCTGGAAATGGGCTGGTTTTCCAACGAGTTTCTGTCAAAGGGTAGGGAAGGCTGTCGAGTATGCGTGAGAGGAGTTCCTTGGTTGTGAGGTACCTGCGACGGTGCTGCAGGAAGTGCCCCGGTTGCGCCAGGTTGCGAGTGGAATGGGTGCGAGGTATGCCCCGTGTCCATTGGGAACCCGCGCCCTTGACCTAGATGTCGGGGCCCAGTTATCCCTGGAGGAAGGGGGATGTTATCAGGAGATCCGAATGCCCGAAATTGCCCACCGAGATGTCCGGAGTGATTTGTATACATTGACATGTCAGGGCCAATAGGCATGCGAGGGCCCATGGCGGGAACTCCACCGGCATTGGAAGGCATCCCATTGATCGATGGCATGGCGTTGAAGCCCAGTGTATGCGAACCGCGACCAGCATTACCGAACGGAGAGAGAGGGGCAGACGGCTGCGGGTGATGGAGTAACGGGGGCTGAGAGGTTGGCTTCCCTGGATTGTGGGAAATGCCAGCTGTTCCAGGAGATAACGAAATGGCCTGTGATATGTCGATGTGAGCCGGTTGAGATCGTGGGGATGATGCGTGGGAACCTTGCTGCGATGCCTGCCGTGGACGCATTGGCGTAGGAGCCTTTGGGACAACCGGTGTGGCAACTTGCAAGTGCGGCGAGTGGACAGTAGCAGGGCCTTGCGGATGCTGCAGTCCTGGTGGAAGATGTGCAGCCCCTGACTGAGAAGCGCGTTTGGCGGCTTGAACAGCAGCGCCTGACGACCGCTGCTGTCAGCTGTTTCTCCCGCTAGCCCGCTCCTTGCTTCGCGATCCGCTTAGCAGCGGACTCCTTTTCTCGGAGCGCCTGTTCTTCTCTTGCCCGTCGTTCCGCTCGTCATTGCTTTCTCTCACGCAGCTCCCGCTCTTTGACTTCTTTCTCCTCCCAGCCTCTCGTTTTTAGACTTCTTCGCGTTTCTTTCGCTCCCGTCTTTTGCTCGCGTGTTTCGTCGATTCAGCTTGCCGCTCACGCTCTTCCTTAAGTCGCTTTGCCGCTCGGCCTCTTTTCGTAGACGGTCCTCTTCTTGAGCCTTCTTCTCAGCTTCACGCTTCTTCCGTTGTTCCTCTTTCTTCTTTCGTTGCTCCTCGAGTCGTTTCTCTTCTAGAGCTTTTTGGGCGGCTTCTTCCGCGGCTCGCTCAGCTTCACGTTTTTGCTTTTCTTCTTCCTTCGCTTGCTTCTGAAGACGCTTCTTGTCCTTTTTCTTTTGAGCTTCGCGGGCCTTCTTCGCTTCACGTTCTACGTCAAGTCGATTTTCTTCCTCTAATTCCTGGATAAGCCGTTCTTGACGCTCGCGGGCGATCTTCTCTCGGTATGCCGTCAGTACTCGCTGCTCAAACATTCGTGCTGCAAATATCTGGAACATTCTCCTTCCTTCTTCCATCCGTTGCTCTTCTGTCATTGCGTCCTGTGTTGACCCGTTAGCATGCCGGGGCTGTAACTATATAATCGAAGACAAACCATTTCATCTTCTTCGTACTCCTCATCATCTTGGCTATCATAGTCTTCCTCTTCTTCCTCATCATACTCTTCCTCGTCTAGAGGCGGACCATGATTGTGACCTCCGTGCATTGATTGATGGGCAGCTGAGGCGGCGGCGTATTGGGTGTCTTCTTCACGTTGCATTCGGCGTTCGGCTAACTGCTCCATCATATCAATAAAATGCTTGCCGTCATTCTTAAGTAGGTCATCCGCCACTGTAAGAATTCCATCTGTTTCAGAAAAAAGAAAGTCAATAATTTTCCGGCCACCACATGAAGAGTGCAATAGCAATCGCACCTTTTACTGTCAAGCTATTTCCAAAGGCAAAAAAGTCCGCGCGTGTCGTTCTGGCAGTATCTTCCAGTTCGTCTTCGCTATACGGTTCGTCATCTTCGTCGTCCTCATCGTAGTCATCGTCCAAGTCTTCATCATCGTCGGGAAGCTCTTGAACTCTGCCTCTTGATGGATGTTGTGGAATAGGATGATGGGAATGTCGATCGAGAGTTCGAAGGGGGGTCTGGTAAAGCCGTGGTGGTGCCCCAATCGGCGCACCGTTTTCGAAGGACCCTTGTTTATGGTTCGCATATTGTTCGAGTTCCTCATAGTATGCATCATATAGAACCTCGAGTTCCTCTTCAATCGCAGTCCGTTTTCGCCCGCAAACTGTACAGCTACATGAATGCTTTTGCTGTTCCTTCATCTTTCGCAGCACCGCTTCCTTTTCCACCTTAACCAGAGATCGACGTTCCTCCTCCCCTAGCTGAAGCCAGAACTCTTTAATCCGTTCTCGTTCTTCGTGTGTAGAGGTATTCCAAATCCGATCTTTGGTTACTTTGTGCGCAGACCGGTATGCGGAACTGGACAGCGGTGGAAGAGCGACAGGTCGAGCAAGTGACGCGGACGGGGTCGACATGGATGTGGAGCTTCCTTCAGCTTGGTGGGAATGTGAGCGACTTTTTCTGCCTTTTTTCTTTTTGCCTTTTCGTTGAGCAGATTGGTGGCTTTCGAGAAACATCCCATTATTAACATGATGCGAGTGACCGTGCGCGTGTGGAGAATAGTGAGCCTCGTCATCAGTGTAGTCCAATTCCTCATGTCCGTATGCCACGTACTGGCCTTGCGTCGGCGGTCCGCCTATATTGGAATTGATGTCATGGCGACTGTCACCGTTTTGCGTTGGCGTGGGAGCAGCACTTTCGGACTGCCGTTCCGCTGCTAGGCGGGCAGCCTGCTTCTGCCGTCGCTTCTGCTTCTTTCGGTTGACTGTCGTCGGAGGCGTTGGCGCTCCGGGACTTTCAATACTGTCTGGGGAGCTGATGCGGGCATCTTGGGGAGCTGCGGGTGCAGGGGAGGATTTTGCATTGGTACTTGAACTTTGCGTGGGAGGCCTGCTATTGGACGTGCCAGCGGTCGAGGAGTGCTTCGGGACAGTGGCTGGCGGTGCCATCGAACGCTTCGAGTTGGATGGCATGATGATATATCACCGAACGCCCTGGATTGAAACCCGGGCACCTGGGGGGAAGAGAAGGATTTCGGTGAGAGGGGAGGGGAAGAAAAGCCCTGGACGGAAGAATGAGAGCCCGTCGTTATTCTCTTCTCTCGGCTGTCGTCGAGGGGGTTATGAGCCGGAGCAAAGAGGAAGGCGAGAGGCAGCACTGCGGATTAGGTTTGGTAGGTCAGCGTCGCAGCAGCAAAACGCTATCACGAAATTGATAGAGGTGGTGACGAGGGAGATTGGCAGGGAACGGGGAGGGCTGCGAGCGCGAAACCGGAGGAAGTCAGCCTGTCAGTCGGTGCAGCAAGTCGGCCGACGATCTTCAGCGGCTGGAGGAGGTGGTTCGGCGGGAGAACGACCGACTGGGTTGATTGCTTAGCGGGTTCATCGAGCGATTCGCCATTCTTGGGTGGTGGGTGTTTTGAGCGTGCAAGACTGGCCGCGCGCTGGGATTGGTGGAAACGGCAAACAGCCGCCGCAGCAGCCCAAAACGGAAAGATTAGCCGCGGCAAGCGACGGACATCGACCTTTCCTCTTTGGGCCTCACCGCCTTGGGCTTGGCGGTATTTACGGTTCTGCCGCGGAAAATTACACAGGGGGTGCCTGAGGTTCCCCGCCATACAAATCTGGCAGCGAGTGACTTGGCTCGGTAGTTACATAGCAAGGTGTCTTTACGGTTGCATTTGCGCGGCAGAATTGCGTGTTGCTCGTCGAGGTCAAGCAGTATGGATGAAGCTGAGTTCATCCCTGCTGTGGCGTGGTCGCTGGTCCTATCAGAGCGATACGATCTGGCCGTCAGTCTACCTAATCATGCATCGAAATGCTGGTGGAGTGTCTGTACAGTCTCTATATATATTGAGGACCATGGCGGCCACGCAGACCAGCGCTGGCGCGAGTGCAAATACGCGCGGTCACGGGCCTGAAGCCGCCTGCCCACAGAGCGACTCAGCCCTGCGCACGTAACCTCGGCAGGGGACCGCACCAAAGCCGCCGCTGCTAAGATGAGTCAGCGGTGTTGATGTCAACCTTCGCAGCGCCAAATCATAACAAGACGCTAGAACCTCGCAGGCTGAAAGTCTCACCAGCAAAGTGTATGCTCTCATTCGCGAAATCCAAATCACATCGAGATCCAGCTGAATCAGTCCCTCTCGCTGCTCTGTCTCATCCGTTCTTTCGGCTTTCCCGAGACAATCCCATCCCGTTAGGCCTGCGTTGAACCTGGATTATCCCCCAAAGTAACCGCCTCGTCGATCGTGGTAACTCCGTATTGGCATTGACTCTCCCCGACGCGGTTGTGCAGCCTGTCAAATAAACAACAACAGCCGGATTTCCCCTCAGGCCAATGCCTCTGTGAATTTGGCCAGAACTTAGTCTTCTCAGCCCCGTGACCATCCAGACTGTGAGAGTATGATTCTTGCTTTTTATTCCTTCCTTTGAGAGCCCGTCCAGTCGTTTCCACATCACTCCCGCCCACAGCCTTTCTCGATTCCAGGCTGACGGTCTCACGTTGGGTGAGACTCAGCACTTTGCAGACCGCCGTGACCTGTCGTTTTGACCCAAGGACCGCTTACTGATAGGCTGCAGTCTTTCGATTCTCGTTCCAGGAACACCTCATCACGCAGCCCAGCTACCCCTTCCTACCCACGGTCGTTCGAACGGCGGATATTCCCTTGCGTCGAATACCCCTTATTCGAACAAATCGATCTCTATCCCAAATAATTGAAAAGTCAAGTCTAGTGTGGACATCTCTGCACCACTCACGTGGAAAAGGCTGAGACCCTCTTCGCGTGTTGCGCCCTGCTCTTCAGAAAGGATGGCACACCAGCAGTCGGAAAATGTCCTACGGAGGTATGATACAGATGTCTCATTTTAGGTCCATTTCATCGGGGTATTGGACGTCGATGCGTTGGTGTTGAGCGATGGTTTTCTTCCCCGCATCATTATTTCATCGCCCATGAACGACCAGTCCTGTCACTGACACTTACGTACAACATAGGAAACTAGTGATTATCGGAGACGGCGCATGCGGCAAGACCAGTCTCCTAAGCGTGTTCACATTAGGCTATTTCCCAACTGTGAGTTATTCCGCATCTCGGACCTCTTAAGGTTGATATTTCCGCTTGCTAACTTGCATATTATCTAGCATTACGTGAGTCCTTGATGCCGCATGGGGACTATCAAACCAAGGAATTACTAACAACAACATGCAAATTTTAGGTTCCTACCGTCTTTGAAAACTATGTCACAGATTGTCGGGTTGACGGCCGATCAGTGCAGCTGGCGCTATGGGATACTGCTGGTCAAGAAGATTATGAAAGATTACGCCCTCTCGCATACTCCAAAGCCCACGTTCTCTTAATCGCATTTTCTGTTGATACCCCTGACTCCTTGGAAAATGTGAAACACAAGGTGGGATTCTAAACCTTTTCTCATCTCTTTTGCGGCTGCTGACTCTCCCATGTTTCAGTGGATCGAGGAAGCCAATGAACGTTGCCCCAATGTCCCCATTATTCTGGTCGGCTTAAAGAAAGACCTCCGTGAGGATCCGCTCGCAATTGAAGAGATGAGAAGAAGATCCATGAGGTTTGTTTCATCAAAGGATGGTAGCGAAACAGCCACGCAAATCGGTGCTCGAAAATATCTTGAGTGCTCGTCCCTGACTGGAGAAGGCGTTGACGATGTGTTTGAAGCTGCCACCCGCGCTGCCCTTTTGACGTTTGACGAGGACAACAGAGGATCTTGCTGTGTGATCTTATAAGCGTATTCATTGTACACAAATGCGGAAACTCATGCAGCCGATCGAGAGGAATTGTTCAGTTGACTTTGTCATTGATCTGTACTTGATTCCGGGTGGATCATTTGCGTTCTCTGAGCGTCTCGGTCTCGCCATGTTCGGTCGTCGCGCATCCGGATAATGGTTCGCTCAGCCAGTACAAAAGCGGGCACAAAAAGCACGGGTTGGGTTTGGGGGTTTGTCGGCTACAAAGTCTACCGATATGCCCCCAGACGATGTCATGCATTGGGGGGAGTTACGGTTTTTGTTTGTCACCTAAATGTTTTGCTTCGCATTGCTTCTCGTTTTTGCCCCTTTTTTCGCATTTCGATTCTGCAAATTACTGAGCTGTATAGCGCGTCAGTATGACTTCAACCTTTTTTTTAGTTTGTTTGCGTTTTCTTGATGTTTCCAGTTCGCCA